CTTAAGGTCGACCAATCAGAAGTGAGCTAGTGTGTGTGTATTGGCGGTCTGTCGGGAAGATTATCGTGGAAATGACCCCCTTTGTCAACCACCGGTCACCGCGTTGAGGTACACCACGATAGCCACTGGTCAGTCTGCTGGCTATGGTTCAAATGTCTGACAAATGCATGTCCTATGGTACACAAGCAACCTACATGTTCGACCGTAATAAAATCATACTGATTGGTAGAAATGTTCAAATGTCCGTAACATTCGCTCGAGTGTTGGGGACCAAACAGGTGAGGTCATGCTGATGCGCGCCTCTCCATACTGTCGTGCTTAGCGCACAGTTGAACCAACGTTAAAGGTGATAAAGGAAGAATGTACCTATCTGTGTGGTCATCGAAGTCATGGACCCGCGGGTTGCTCCCTGCTGACCTTCGGGTTGCTCCCTGCTAACCCCTGTAAGACACAGACTGTGACGAGTGGCAAGCTCAACTACGGCCTTCTCTATTTATCTAGAGAAGGCAGAAGCTCAAAATACGGTTGTGAAGATAAGCAGACATGTACAGGACGTGACAATTCCTTGTGTGAGCCCAGAACAAGAGCTTCCAGTCTCAGCTCTGCATTTATAGAGGCATCCTGGGATGGCGGGGAATGACCATGATCTGCCCCTGCCTTCCTTTAAGGGCCGACCAGTCTACACGCTGTTGCCCTAAAGGGGTTCTTCAAAGAGAATATCCGTAGATCAAGAGACAAAGAGGACACCCCACAAATGAGGCAATGTCGTGTCCCACGAAACAGTGACCACAATCATTCCTAGAGGTAGAATAGACGTCTTTCTACCAAGTCGGAGTACATTTGCTTGAAAGGCAGGGAATAAAACTGAACACACAAAAGTCTGTAAAATGGATGTACACGCAAAACTCAGGTCCTGGTACAAGGCCAAAGTCGAAATGGATGAACGACCAGTATTTTCCACCGGAATTTCTATCAGTTAACGCTAAGAAAAATTAGTTCCAACACAAGGAATAGTCCGAGAAAGAAAAAACGGTCGGCGTGATGCTGACTACACATCACTCGCCGTCTACACAATTTAGGTCTAGCACTTTATGGCCAATACTTCCAAAGGCGTGAAAAGGATCTTTTACTTTACTTTACTGTTCCAACAGTTCTTCTCATCTCTCCATTTCTTCCAAATTCTCTTCTGGTTTTGTTTGCACCATTTCTCAGACATCTCATTTCAGAGGTGTTTAGTTTTCTCTCGTGTTCCTTGGGTAATGTTTAAATCTAACTCTCCTTCATTTGCTTTGCTATATTTAATTTTACTGTATTTGACGAGATACAGCAAGATATAAGGGTCTTTACCATACAAGAAAGCTATGTTTGATGCATGCTTTCCGTAAATGCCGCACAAAGTACCCCGGGGTATTCACGTGACAGGTATCGTTGGCAACATTTACACAAACAAGCAAAGGGGAAGACAGAGTAGTCTCGGTTAGCTCGATGTTAGTCTCCCCAAATAGAGTAGGTCACTTTTCATTCTCAAGTTTGTTCGGCTGGTCGACTTTCCTGATGGTTACGGGTGTATCCCGCTCTGTTGTTTGGTTGCTGCAATGTCTTGCATTTACGTTTTAACTCCGAGAAAGAGAATAAATGTGACATAGGTTGCAGCACTCTCTAGGTGGGTTGTGTTTCTACATGTTTTTAGTGTTAAAAGCGCTGGCGTGCTGAAATATACAAAACGCGATATCAACAGCATTGTGGAGCACCTGCGTAACCTTGTGGAAAGGTCACGAGGCTCACGAACTACCAATCACAAGTGAACTAGTGTGCATATAAGCGGGGTCTGGGGGAGACTAACGTCTATCCTTATCACCCCTTTGAGGGTGCAATTTTTCGTTATTTGAAGCCCTACTCTGGCTTTTGCCAGGGGATATAGCCCGGCCATAAATATGGTCTGAAGGCTGAACGCGGTTTCTGGGACCTCTCCATGGGTGATCATCTACCATATGGTGGCACTTTGTGTCAACGGGTTTTTATTGCTTGTGTGATGTCCTGGTGGGGTAAAAGAAGATAGATAGATAGACTAACGTCAAACTAACTGTGGTCTCCAACATGGGGGGGGGGGGGGGGGGGTGAATGAGAATTCAAGCAGTTTTTGAAAGTGAGTGAATTTGTTACCTACTTAGTCGCTCCTCTTCTACCCTGGGATGCAGATGCTTGCTAGAGAGATTGTCAGACTTCATCAGAAGTCTTCTTTCTGGCTTTGTTCCATTGCAGTCCTCTGGTGTTTCTTCTCATCTCTTGAGATCACCATGGTTTTAATTTTGGAGATACTGATGGTCATCCCTCTCTTCTCAAGCTCTTCCTTCCAGACAGGTAAGTTGGACTGAAGGTGTGCCTCTGATTTAGCTATCAGGGCCACATAGTCTGCAAATGCCAGCTCTGATATACAGATTGGTCTCATCTTCCAGTACCCTACTGAGTACTTCTTTGTCTTCTCCTTACAGGTCTTGATGACATCATCCATCATAAGAATGAAGACTTAAGGTGAGAGAATATCACTTTGTCTAACTCTAACAGCACTAGTGGTCTTAAAATTCTTCTGACTATTAGTATGCTGTTCTTACATAATTTCTGCAGCTTTTGTGGAAACTATTGCACTGATCAGGGGTGCTGGGATGTTTTTCCCTGCCAAGCAGTCCCAGAGCTTGCCCAGGGAACCTTATCAAATGCCTCTTCTAGATTAAAAAAAAACATCTTTTTAACTTTATTCTCCAGCTCTCTTCCCCATGTGTTTTTTTTGGCCTTCCTTTATTCATATGCCCCTGTGGGTTAAGTGTGTGGTTCCATGGCCACCTTATAACGATAATATAGAATAAACAGTCCAAGTGTATGGTTCCATGGCCACCTTATAATGATAATATAGAATAAACAATCCAAGTTTATGCTTCCATGGCCACCTTATAATGATAATATAGAATAAACAGTCCAAGTGTATGGTTCCATGGCCACCTTATAAAATATAGAATAAACAGTCCAAGTGTGTGGTTCCATGGCCACCTTTTAATGATAATATAGAATAAACAGTCCAAGTGTGTGGTTCCATGGCCACCTTATAATGATAATATAGAATAAACAGTCCAGTTTTTAGAAAGAAAACAAAAGAACAGACTTGCTGCCCACTAACCAGCGTGTCGTTTTACAAGACGACTAATTAGGGATGTCTTCTTCAAAGTCTGAGTGCATCTGCTTGAGAGACCAGAAACCAACACAAATAAGCCAGATCTGTAAAAAGAAAGTGCACATAAAACTAAAAGTCTGGAACAAGATAAAAGTCCGGAAGTGGACAACCAGCAAGAATTTTCTGCTGGAGGTTACATTTATTAAAAAAATTATGTGGGTGCTTTGATTCTGTGCTTTTATGCGGGTTTCCAAGCACCACATTTCTCAATATGTAAATTGTGATATGTAAAAAAATGCTGGCCATTTAAGTTACAATGAAACAAATAATCTGGCACTGTTGCTAAAAATCACTACACTTGAATAATGAAGACAGAAACAATAGATTGCACAGTTTATTGTCTTGGCATATTTTGTTGCATCTTATCTGGCGCATGATACAGAATTAAAACATACAGTTTCTCATGTGGGTTTCGGGGCCCCCCTTGTGAGGACAACAAGAAAATACTCACTGCCTCCCCAACAAGCATGTCGTAGGAGCTGACTAACTGGGAACTTCCTTCAAAGTCTGAGTGCATCTGCCCGAGTGGCAAGAAACAACCAACTGCACACAGATAAGCCAGTAAAATGGATGTACACGCAAAACTCAGGCCCTGGCACAAGCCAAAGTCCAAATGGATGAACAACCAGGACTTTCCGCCAGAGCTAACAGCCGGTGAACAAATAAGAGATCAAGAGAGAGAGAACATACAGTGAAGCACAAAAATGAATCTGTTTTTCCATGTGTGGGTCCTGAGGTCTCATTTGGGGGTGGGGTGGGGGGGGGGGGGGGAATAACAAACCAACTGCCCCCTAATAAGCAAGTCTTCAAAGGCCACTAATCAAGGGTTTGCTGAAACAGGAGGCATAGGCTGAAAGATGCAGATATCACAGCCTAGCTGTAAAATACAATATAACATGCCAATTAATTACCATCTGAAGGGTGAAATTAGAAGAAGGAAAATCTTTTTTAGTTGAAATACACAACACACACAGTACATTGTTTTAATGTTAGTGTTAAATCATGGTATTTTTTTTGGGTGTCAATTAAGACGAGAGAGAAATTTCAAGAACTATATAAATTCTATCCTGATATGTGAAAGTAAATCATGGAAAGTTGGATGATTTGTGGAAAAGGGGTGAAGATGTGGTTTCTACAGGTAAATAATGAGAATACCCTGGAAAGAGAACACAATAATAATGAAGATGTGAAAGGAACTGACTCAGGAAGAGAACTGATTGCCCACATCAGAAGGAGACAATCTACATTCTTCGGTCATGTGATGAGAAGAAGAAAACTGGAGTACATAATGTCGATGGAAAAGCTGGAAGGGGAAAAGAGGCAGAGGGAGATCGAGACAGAAGATGCTGGACAGTTGACACCATGGCACGGAAGATCATGTCTCAGAACTGACTCACAAGACAGAAAGTTGTGGACAGACATGACCACCAGCGGCACACGGCATAGACTATTAGAAAAAGTCAGAAGTTACAGATTTCTATGATGCACTAAGATGTGAAGCCTATTTGTGTTTTCATTATTTCTATCCATTCACATCAGGAACATATTGCACTGAGTTTATTCATTTACATGTTTTACAATGGCTTAAAAACTAGAATTACTTCATCTCCTTACGTCACTAGAATTACTTCATCTCCTTATCTCACTAGAGTTACTTCATCTCTTTATGTCACTAGAATTACTTCATCTCCTTATGTCACTAGCATTACTACATCTCATTATGTCACTAGAATTACTTCATCTCCTTATGTCACTAGAATTACTTCATCTCCTTATGTCACTAGAATTACTACATCTCCTTTTGTCACTAGAATTACTACATCTCCTTATGTCACTAGAATTACTGCATCTCCTTATGTCACTAGAATTACTACATCTCCTTATGTCACTAGAATTACTTCATCTCCTTATGTCACTAGAATTACTTCATCTCATTATGTCACTAGAATTACTACATCTCCTTATGTCACTAGAATTACTACATCTCCTTATGTCACTAGAATTACTACATCTCCTTATGTCACTAGAATTACTTCATCTCCTTATGTCACTAGAATTACTACATCTCATTATGTCACTAGAATTACTTCATCTCCTTATGTCAGTAGAATTACTACATCTCCTTATGTCACTAGAATTACTACATCTCCTTATGTCAGTAGAATTACTACATCTCCTTATGTCACTAGAATAACTACATCTCCTTATGTCACTAGAATTACTACATCTCCTTATGTCAGTAGAATTACTACATCTCCTTATGTCACTAGAATTACTACATCTCCTTATGTCACTAGAATTACTACATCTCCTTATGTCACTAGAATTACTACATCTCCTTATGTCACTAGAATTACTACATCTCCTTATGTCACTAGAATTACTACATCTCCTTATGTCATTGTGATTAACAACTTAAGTTACTACATGTCAGCGTCTGTGGCTTAGGTGTTGCAAATGCACTTTGTAATCTGGGGTGGCGGGTTCGATCCCAGCTGTGGACAATTTTTCTTGTGCTGGTTTCGACAGTGGTACCGAGAGCTGACCGTTCAGCAACAACACCAAACTACTGAACGTAAAATTTGCCTAGAAAGCCCCAACAGCCAAAAAAAAAAAAAAGTTGAGATTGGTTCTGCAACATCATGAAAAGGGGACACAACTCACTTTTTAACTACATTTATTAAGTTACCACCATTTAGTTGTTTCCTTGTGACTGATAGACTGAGTTACTACAACTGTTGCTTTGTAGTGAATAAACTCAGTAAGTGACTATTTTACTTATTTCAGTTTGACTATAAACAGGTTGATTACTGTTATGAACATAAAACCTCAGTTAAATGATAGCGTATTCTTATTTGTAACTGTTTACACTGTCTGTTTAAGTGCTGATGAAGGTTTTCTAGCAGCAACGTCCACTTATCATTTGTGATTATGACAATGTAAAACTGACAAATTCTACCTTTCATCAGGTTTTATATCTTTTCATAATATTTGCATAGATCAAGAAACAATCGTAGGGCCTTTCCTAAATAATTAAACTGTGCATTCAGGAAAAAACAACTGGGGTACATATTAACAATAGGAAAGTGGGAGGGGAGGGGAGGAGAGGCAGAGGGAGGCTGAGAGAAAAGATGCTGGACAGATGACATCATGGTATGGAGGTTCATGTGTGTCAGAGTTGACTGAAAGTACATGAGACAGAAGGTTGTAGATAGACATGACTACCAATGCCACATGGTATGCACTTTAAGAAGAAGAAATCCAGTCACAACAAATACTTGGTTACATTATTTGTTCTGTAACATATTCATCTTAATTTTTAAAAAAGTGTAGCACCTATTAAAAAAAAAAAAATTCACCAGAATATAAATATATTGAAATCAATTACGTTATACCTTAGAAAAATAAACAATCTAAAGAGTGCTGTATGAATTAGGTAAGTTTAATATATAAGTGATACATTTTTACCGTCACACACAGACATGCACACACACACATACATACCACCATACATACACACATATTTATATACACATAGATTTCACAGTTTCTGTTTTTTCTTTCTGGCCTGTTTTCTGAGGATTTGACAAAGCTGACAACTTTAAGAGTTGCACCCTGGACGATATAACCAACAGGAGAAAACCTAGATACCTTGTTCAACCTCCAAGGAAATTAGGATCACAGCTTTTTTTCTGCTACAAAGTGTCTATTAAATTAAGTAACCTGTAAACCCAGGTGAAAAAACCTGGTTGTTTGTCCATTCCTGGACTTTGGCTTTGTTCCAGGACCTGAGTTTTGTGTGTGCATCCATTTTACAGATCTTGCTTATTTGTCTGCAGACTATTGGTTCTTGCCTCTCAGGCAAATGCACTCCGACTTATTACAGTAATTGAAGAAGATCCCTTTACACACCAGTGGCACATGTGGCATATGAGGCTTATATTTTTATAGACCAATCGGCCAGCCTCCTTTACTTCCCAAAACTTTACCAGGTACTCATTTAAAGCGGGGTCAACCTGGGAGCCAAGGTCATAGCTGTAATTAGAAAAAAAAAAAATCAGATTTCATGCAGATGTGAACCTATGACCTTCGGATCCACAGGCGTGCGGTCTATTACAGTAGCGCCTGACAGAATGTAAGCCTAAAAAATTTGCTAGTACAGCACTGCATAGCGCTTTGATTAGGGTACCTACGATGGCTACACCAAATGGACGACATAGTGCGCCTAACGGTCCATCGTTACGTAGTGGCTAAACCATGCAAAGTTCTCTGAGGGTAAGGAATTTGTACATATTAATTTAACAGTGCATGGGTTTAGAAAACAAAACAGCAGCAGCAGTAAGTAAATAATTCATATGACTAATTCACAGCATTTAAAAATGTACAGAGAAATGTTACAACTTTTATATAAATACAATGTAAGTGATGAGTGAGTGCATCAGAACAGGGTAAAAGTGTAGACAAATTAGATTTTAAAAAAAAAATGTATTGTGCTTTGATTTTTGCAAGACATATTACCTGGAAAAATGGGTAAATGTAAAATTGGTAAGTAGAAAACTGGTAATGGGGAAAATTGGTCCAGCAGTATAATTAACAATTTTCAACAAAGATTTAGTAACATATAAGTACATCTGAACGGGTGTAGAGAAATGAGATTTAAAAAAATAATTGTCATTTGTTGTTTGGAAGACAAGATTATTAACTGGAAAAGGGGTCACTGTGTAAAAGGGGTAAAATGGGCAACTGGAAAAATGTATTACAATTTACATTTTTTCAGAAATGATTTGGTAACATTTGTATCTTGGTTATCCGTAAACTTACAACTGATCAACAATTCAGTCGTGGTACAGACAATTGCTGACCAAGTGGTCAAAATTCTAGGAATGGTGTGGTGATTTTGGTTACAGGGGTGAGGGCAAGTTGAGACACCAAGTAGTCAAAATTCTAGGGATGGTGTGGTGATTTCAGTTACAGGGGTGAGGGCAAGTTGAGACACCAAGTAGTCAAAATTCTAGGGATGTTGTGGTGATTTCAGTTACAGGGGTGAGGGCAAGTTGAGACACCAAGTAGTCAAAATTCTAGGGATGGTGTGGTGATTTCAGTTACAGGGGTGAGGGCAAGTTGAGACACCAAGTAGTCAAAATTCTAGGGATGGTGTGGTGATTTTGGTTACAGGGGTGAGGGCAAGTTAAGACACCAAGTAGTCAAAATTCTAGGGATGGTGTGGTGATTTCAGTTACAGGGGTGAGGGAAAGTTAGGACACCAAGTAGTCAAAATTCTAGGGATGGTGTGTTGATTTCAGTTACAGGGGTGAGGGCAAGTTAAGACACCTAGTGGTTAAAATTCTAGCTATGGTGTGGTGATTTCAGTTACAGGGGTGAGGGAAAGTTAAGACACCAAGTAGTCAAAATTCTAGGGATGGTGTGGTGATTTCAGTTACAGGGGTGAGGGCAAGTTAAGACACCAAGTGGTCAAAATTCTAGGAATGGTGTGGTGATTTCAGTTACAGGGGTGAGGGAAAGTTAAGACACCAAGTAGTCAAAATTCTAGGGATGGTGTGGTGATTTCAGTTACAGGGGTGAGGGCAAGTTAAGACACCAAGTGGTCAGAATTCTAGGGATGGTGCTGTGATTTCAGTCACAGGGGTGAGGGAAAGTTAAGACCACTGTGATGTGCACAAGGAGATACCCTGTACCTCTCTCCAGGCAGCAGTATGTTCTGTGGTGTTTTTACAGATCTTCATGCATGACTCCTGCCACACACCCTTGCTATATGCCATGAAAAGATAATGGCCTATATCAGCCAAATCCAAGCTGGCAGGGGATCTCGGAGTTGGTGACAACCTGAGATGCAGTGTCCAGAAATACTCTGGCACTTATAAACCTCTTCCTCTTCCCCTCCAGTGCATGGGTGATAACGTACATGAAAATCTCAATTTGTCATTTGAAACACGAGTCATGTCCACTGGCTGAGTAAACTACTAAATGACAAACTCACGTTCAAAAGTCAGACATCCGAAATTCCTACTGTATGACAAACCTTGGTTCAAACATCTCTAGCAAGAGGCTCCTACTGTATGACAAACCCTGGTTCAAACATCTCTAGCAAGAGACTCCTACTGTATGACAAACCCTGGTTCAAACATCTTTAGCAAGAGACTCCTACTGTATGACAAACCCTGGTTCAAACATCTCTAGCAAGAGACTCCTACTGTATGACAAACCCTGGTCCAAACATCTTTAGCAAGAGACTCTTACTGTATGACAAACCCTGGTTCAAACATCTCTAGCAAGAGGCTCCTACTGTATGACAAACCCTGGTTCAAACACCTCCAGCAAGAGACACATACTGCATGACCACTTAGGTTCATCGAATGTCTTTTTGCATGACAGCAAAGGTTTAGATATCCCTCACTAAGAGATCCTACTTTATGACACAAAAGGTTTAAGCGTCCAATATCAAAGGCAGACTTGACAAGAGTGTAATGACAATATGGAGAAACCATGTCTGATGCATGCTTCCCTTAATTGCATCCAAAAGTACCATGAACATCCATGTGAAAGGCACCACTGTCAAAGAGAGAAGTCTAACAAGCTGGGGAAGAAGTAAGATGCACATTGGTGAGGGAATCAGAGTGTCAGGTCTACAGACGGCTCCCTGAAAAGGTGCAGCTCGCAATAAGTGGAAGGTTCAATATACAAATGTGGGACTAAGCAGTGATGTGCAGGACGTGATGATTCTTTGGGTGAGCCCAGTACCAGAGCAACAGGTATGGACTATGCATTTCTGGAAGCTTCCTTGGATGGTGGGGAATGCCCATGCTCTGTCCCTGCCTTCCCTTGAGGGTGGACCAATAAGCATTCAGCTGCTCCAGATGGACTCTCCTAAGTCAGATCTTGTGGATCAGGGAATGACCAATTCACCACACAAATGAGGCTATAAAATATCCCATGAAACTAACCGGGAATGCTAAACCAGTTTATAAATGACCACAAAAATTGGATTTGTCGGCCGAAAAGTGCAAATATCGCATCTATGCCGTCAACAGGTAATGACGACTGAAGAATAATAATTCTGGGCTGTCATTCCTGAGACCCAGGTTCGAATTCTCAATAAGGTGATAGAAATTAAACTAATTTTTCTGTCTGGCGGCAAAAATACAAATCCTACCTAGTACACTTCATGGTGATGTTAATGACAATTAGGAAATACTTCATGAAAAATGAAGTGTATTTGTTAAAACTGACAATGTAGTCATGAAGGCCTCAATCCCGAAGATCAAGACCCCCAACTATCCAAGACAGCCATTAAAAATAGTAAATAAAAGCTGTGAAGACAGTAATCATGGCCTCTGGCGAACTAGGAAAAAACAACAAGATAAGATTAAAACTCTGCACACTGTTGAGCCTGATTCACACCTTGAACAGAACTATAAAGGGACATCAGTCTAAAAAAATCACACTTATTTGTTCCACAGCTATCATATGATTTAATTAAAATATAAAATCATTACTTGTCAATATTTCAAGTCTTCCATAATTAGTATGAAATAAAATCCTACATAACTGACACAACCGTGAGTTTGAGTTTGTTTTACAGAGTAATTGCATTCCAACTTTTCCTTCCATCCATCTCCCCCTCCATGCTGCGACTGGGAACTGTGAGATTATAAAATCTCAGTCTGGATGGCAAGCCACTAGAGCAGATCCCAGATACCTTGTTAACTCTTTCAGTGGCAAGCAACGTTTGATGTATTAATGAATCTACCCCTTGATTTCTCTCCTTAGCATTATTTGCTCTTTTATTTTTTAAAACAATATTTAGTCAATGCATACCAAGGAAGTCTGGTCTCCATAAATAATCACTACTGCTGCGTAAATTGTGTACAGCATTCAGGGTTTTTCCATCAAGGTTTCTTTTTCTACACTTTTTTAAATCTCTCGTGAAACCTTCTTGCACCAACATTTTTTTTTGAGTCCCTGAAGAAGCTATAATTAGGGCAACCATAATGGCTGATGTAACCTGCAGCCCTGTGTGAGTAAGGAAGGGCACTGTACTCTGACAACAACACTGGGATCTTGTTGTTAATGGCGATTAGGAAATACATAATGGAAAAAGAAATTATATTTGCTAAAGCTGACTATGTAGAATACAATATATTCATCTTCTGCTTTTTATACTCAGCGGAGCATAGGCCTTCAACTCATGGCAAGACTTCCTATCTCCTGCATCTACCTCTATGTTCTACCTATTTTATCCATCACTGTGTCTAATATATATTCTCTTTTCAGGTGTCTTTTTACTTCTTCTATCCTGTTGGGGCAGATAAAGGACATTCTAGTTACATTAGATAAGGATTAAAAATGGTTAACAAATAGGAGGAGAGGGGAGTGGGGGGGGGGGGGGGGATGAACTGACAATTTATACAAAAATAAATGAAATGTTTGATAGCTATTTCCCTAAATGAACACAAGGAAATACAGGCCTCAAATACTGGCCTTTCTATTTACAAATTAAAAACAAAAAAATACCTGGTACAAAGGTTTTCAAAGAGGAGATGGTACTGTGCAGTGCATCTGAGATAAAAAATCTCCAAGCAGGATCGGAAAAACTAGACCAGAGACACAAAAGCATTGGCTCCCCAAAATAATCTTTCATGGTGAGATGCAAGAGGCACACTCTCATGGTGGCCATATACACACACACACAGATGCTTTTAAGACTATTAAAGGCATCACTTAAAACCTTCAGTATAAACCCGGACACTTGGGGAGCTACTGCACAAGACTACAATATAGCAAATGTCTTTCTGAAGTGCTCAGTGTCTTGCAAGGCATTTAGACAGGCCAGAAAGACCCTGTATAAAATGGCCTTTACCCACAGACACTGTTCCCTGCGCTCATAGTCCTAGATCCTTCTGGGCCTGTATTTGGCTTATAAGTCACATTCTCACTCATAAAGAATCAACTATAGCGTCATTATGAATGACAGAAAGAGTATTTTTCATCACTTGTGATACACGAACAACAGGACAGAGATCTAAAACAGGGCTATTCAACTGGCGGCCTGTGGGCAAAATCTGGCCTGCGGAGGCCTAGCAAATGACCCGCGAATTATGCCAATTGTATCATATTAATGATCTATCTACGCTAGATAGCCCTGACCTAAAGGATGGTTTCACGTATTATTAAAGTGACCCCTGATTCCAGTAGACAGTTGTTTTCTTTGTTCTTCTTTGAGAGTATGGCATCAACCAAACTGAGGAATACATTTTTCAGGTATACCTCTTCTAAAGAATTTCATAAAAGATAAACATCTAACTACCCAGAGGTTGGTTCTTTCCTAACAACTATGGCCTCAAACAACCTTCTTGCAAATATTCATTTACCTTAATTTTTTCAGCATGTGTTAAAGTGCTTCATAGAACAGATGCTGCTGTATGTGCGAGTTACAAGGTCCACATGCTGATAAACTGAGAAATATCCAACGCCGGTGGAGATGAGGCATCTCAGAAGAATGCAAAGAATACCACAGATGGACTTGAGAACAGATGAGGCCAACGAGATGAGGCATCTCAGAAGAATGCAAAGAATACCACAGATGGACTTGAGAACAGATGAGGCCAACGAGATGAGGCATCTCAGAAGAATGCAAAGAATACCACAGATGGACTTGAGAACAGATGAGGCCAACGAGATGAGGCATCTCAGAAGAATGCAAAGAATACCACAGATGGACTTGAGAACAGATGAGGCCAACGAGATGAGGCATCTCAGAAGAATGCCAAGAATACCACAGATGGACTTGAGAACAGATGAGGCCAACGAGATGCAGACAGCTAAGATTTTTTTTAGGCATGATTTTAGCCAAAAATAGACAAAACAAAAACTAGGGGAAGACAAAAACTGTTAGATTGGCTCAGCCATATAGTTAGGGAGAGACAAGAATGCATGATGATAGTGAACTTGTACGGCACAGGATCTCTTGTTTCCGGTCCTTATCTGAAGAAGGAGAGCGCACAATTTCATTACCCAAGAGATAAATCAGTGGTGGGGGGCAAATGTAACATTAAAAATCAAAAGTTGCTGTAAAAAAATCCCAAGTCCTATGCTGGGATTCAAACTCCATAACATTGGAGCCTGAGTGTACTCAACCTGCAAACAGCTAAACACAGGAACAGAGAAACTGTACCCACTCAGTTCTTGTGACTCCTACTAGCATTGCTATCATCACAAACATTTAACTTTCTGTTGACTGAAAATAATATTTACATTTGTTGAATTGAATTCTAATGTAAGCTATCCCATCTCATCAACAATTTGAAACAGCTTGATCAATATCTGCTTTTGTAACTACACACTTTTATTTAATTATTACTTTAATGTAAACTAAAAACAACTAGAAACCAGGTAACTACAATGTCTTTGTATCTTTGTATTCTGTCAAAGTATATGCCAGGTTGAAATTTCGGTAATCAAATATAAAAAAAAAAAAAAAAAACCTGTAATCTGGAAGACTCAGGGAGCTATGTCAGCTGACTAAAACAGCTTGATAAATTTTAACTACACACTTTTATTTCATTATTTTTCCATTTTAAATTAAAAACACATTGAAACCGGGTAACAACAATGTCTTTGTATCTTTATATTCTGTCCAAGTATATGCCAGGTTGAAGTTTCAGTAATCAAATATCAACAAATTGAAATCTGGAAGACTCAGGATGCCACGCCTGCTGCCTTGCTTGTCACATGCTGAATGGTGGTTCTTTAAACAATAAAGTTGCCTTCTGAAGATAAGTCTTGCTCAGGAATTATAGGGTCACTGGTCTGAAATGACTGAAAGTCCGTTACTTGTTGAGCCAGCTCAACAAACCTGCAGGATGCTGAAAAGGAAGACCAATGTTTGAAAGAACAACACAGATAATTTCTTATAAAATGGTGCTGAATATGACTTTCAGTGAAATATTAACATTGCTATAGAAATGACTTGCTGTATAAACTATGGGAGGGAGAATAAGAACACTAGGAGGAGGAGGCTTAACAATGGGAGAAGGAGAAATATGAAAAATAGCAAAAAAAAAGAAGAACACGACGAAGAGAAGAAAGATGAAGAAATTTAAGCATCACATAATGTAGAATAGAAAGAGGAAGAGAAGAAGGAAAATCATTAATAGAAAGAAGAAAAACAAGAAGAAAGATGACAAAACAGAAGCATCACACAATGTAGAATAGAAGGAGGAAGAGAAGAAGGAAAATCATTAACAGAAAGAAGAAAAACAAGAAGAAAAGAAGAAAGATGAAGAAACAGAAGCATAAAAAGCATAATAAGAGGAGAAAGAAAATGATTTATAAGAAGAACAAGGGGAAGAGAAGAAAGAGGAAGAAACAAAACCATAATAAAATGCAGAATAGGAGGAGCAGAAAAATTATTAACAGAAAGAAGAACAAGAGGAACAGGAAAAAGGTGAAGAGACAGAAGCATAATGAGCAGAATAGGAGGAAGTTGATGGGTAGTACGATTGACAGTAAGAAGCAGAAGGAAAGGAAAATAAATATAATGACATGAAAATGTTATGTTATCATAGCTGACGTCATTGCACACTGGGCATTTCCATGTGTGCTCAGTCCTCTGATGCAGCAGCCACTCCAAGATACTTCTACTAATTGTTCCCATGATAGGTGGGTTATAATGTCTCCTATCTCAGCCTTGGAGGCAGGGTAGACGTGCTTCACCATGCTTTACTCTAATGTTATGGGGACGGAGCGCTTATGAGAGTGTCCTGAGTGCTGTGATGTCAATTCTTAATTCCACAAACAGGTAAAAAAAAAAAAAAAAAAAGAACAAAGCAGCAGAAGAGAGATAAAGAAACAAAAGTATCATAAAATGTAGAATAAAAGGCAGGAATATATTCCCGCCAAAGTGATGTGATAATCTATACAGATGGCTCTGTGTTGAGGGGCAGACAAAGTGTATAGAAATTCATAGCAAAGGCGAACGAATGTTGCCTAGTGCAGCAAAGCCTTGCATATGATATCAAAACGTCTAGTTTGAGAATGGAGATGGAGGCAGCCTCTGCTACCTTCCGCTGGCTTGAGAATCAGCTGTCCACACATGCCCTGATTGTAACTGACTCACAGAGCATGTTGAGAAAGGTGAAAACAGATATGCTTCATGCAGAGTGGCAAGCCTTAACGGGTAGTTAAAATCCTTTGGATATTTTCTCCAGGTGATGCCGGTGTGTAGGGAAATGAGCAGGCAGATAAACTGGCTGGCTCTGCACCACTTGGTGGCAATTAATGTATGACAAGTTAGATATTGTGAGGGCCCTTTAGGAGCGGGTGAACAGCGTGGAGGCGCAGATAGATCATTACGGTCTAAGAAGAATAGCGCTGCGAGGAGTTACCAGGGGATCTGGCCGACGCTCAACACTCAGAGGAAGGATGAGACGGATATACAGTCAGACCGTTACTGGTACCATCGTAATTGGAACTCTTGGCTTGCTGCTGAAGATGGGAGCTGAGCACTTATGGGAGTGTCACGAGTGCTGTGATGTTGATTCTTAATTCAACATTTAACAGGAATATAAAGATAAAATGAAGAAGGATGAAGAAACAGAAGCATGAAAAGTATAATAACAGGCAGAAGAAAATGAATTATACGATATACAAATGCATGCCTGACTGGCTAGCTCAGTTGGTTAAAACCCTCTGCATGGCGACCGGGTGGTTTGGGTGGTCTTTGTGGTCTGGGTTCACGCCCCGGGGTAGACAGAAAAGCCACATTTCTCCCAGATTAACGGTATCTATCATGGAATCAAGGCTGAAGGGTTGTGATATCCATAGTACCGAACCAAAGGGTTAACAACTCATGGTTTCTGGATACTTAGAAAAAAAAAAAAAAATGCATACGTACATGAACTGAAGCAATAAGATAAACAATAAAAAAATGTGTTCAAGAAACACCAGACAAGATACCGACCTGTGCTGTATACATGGCTGCAGCCCACCGGTACAGTTCATCTTCTGTGTCAAAGCACAGGCAGTGTCCAAACGGTGGTCTGAAACACATAACACGACATGTTTAATGACGCTTTCCGTCACAGACATCTAACCGTAGATTCTCACTAGGAATCAACAACCACCAAGAAACAATAGAATTACTTGTCTTTCAAACTGATTTGATCTGATTCAAGAATTGACATCACAGATCTCGCAGCAGTCCCATAAGTGTTCTGTCCCCATCTTCAGCAGCCAGCGCAGACTTCTGGTACCAATGGTGCCTGGAGCAGATTGATTATATGTTTGTCTTGCCATTCCTTTGAGAGTTAAGTATCAGCCAGATCCCATCGTCACTCCTTCCTGCATCACTCCCACCAGACTGTGATCATTCATTTACTCCTCCGAATTGTACACATACTCCTATAAGGCCTTAACCACATTTGCCTTCTCCTGCATCAGTATTCCACCAAAGTGTGCAGAGCCAGCCAATCTGTCTGCCTTTTTATTTCCCAACATATCACTCTGCCCCAGAAGAAAAGATATAGACAAGGCACTTCACTCGCAACCTCTATAGTGAAGCATGCCACTCTGCTAAAAAATCTGAGGTTCTCAACCTGTATGTTGTGACCCCTTTGGGGTCGAACGACCCTATCACAGGGGTCACCTAAGACCTTCGGAAAACACATATTCACTGAAGTTATGAAGTAACACCGAAAATAATTTTATGGTTGGGGGTCGTCACAACATGAGGAACTGTATTCAAGGGGGAACCGGGATTAGGAAGGCTGAGAACCACTGATTAAAAAAAACCCATGAAATTAACCCAATGAACGTGAATAAGAAGCTTAACAAAGAGGGAAAAGGAACAACATACACATTCAAGAAAAATCTAATGTTTCTGCAGGAACCTTTATCAATAAAAATAACAAGGAGGAGAGTATTCAACAAACATATTTTATCAAATAAATAAACAGAAATGATAAAAAAAATTTATGAGATTAAATTATACAATCTCTCTTGTGGTTTTTGCCAATAAAAGCTCCGACTGAAAAATGTGATTTTCTTCTTTCTGTGTGTGTCTCCCCACCCCCCCTCGTTAAACTTATCAGTCACAGCTCAGTGGATTTTACAGAGATTCATCACTGAAGCTACAGAGTCTGTGCTTTGTGTGGCACTCTCAGCAGGCGGCTAGCTGTTCTGCAGAGACAGACCAAGCTATATGGGATAAAACCTGGTGCAATAAAGTCGATCCTGGACTTTGACTTTAACTCCAGCATATTAATTTCTTGGTAATAGTTTGATTGCAGTTACCTGTTTTCATCACTTTATAAATAAACATGCCGAAAAGATAAAATATTTCATTCACACAAACAACGGCAGCTACCTACTTTGTGTATTTTTCTCCAGTGACAGTGAAGGTGAGGCAGTATCTGGAAAGTAAAACATTATGGAACTCTTCAATGTGCTAGGTTAAAAATAAACTTCTAGCATTATATAAAAATATGTTTGAAAAAGGAACAGTATAGTGATATCAGGAACATAATTAGGTTCGTTTAAAAGAAGAAAACCCAACACAGATTTTTTTAAAAATTGAATGCGCAAAACACCATATTACTAACAAAACATATACACTGAAGCCATATTTTCTTTTTCTTGTATGTTCATCCGAAGATGTAAATGAATTGTGCCCGTTTACAAAAAGACTGCAATATTTGCACCTTTTGGCAGACACATCTGACTTTTGCAGGCATTTGTCGCCTTTCCAGTTAGTTTTGTGGGATACTGCTGTCTTACTGCCGTGAGGTTATCTCTGTTTCACAGTTTACAGGTGGTGCCCCCCTCAACAAGTCGGTACAAAAAAAACCATATAATGCTGGTCAGCCTTTGAGAAAAAAGACAGGGGCAGATGAGACGTGCGCCTACGATGCTGAGAGGTGTAGGTCCCATTTTCAACGTGCGATCAGGTACAAGACAACGAGTGCAGTACATTCCACAAGCCAAGTGTGAGGAAAACAGTCAGAGATTATTTCCAACGAATAACAGGATAACCGTAATAATAACAATCAACTCCAATGTATCCAAACGTGAATTATGATGAAGGCCAGGTATGAAGTGTAACACTGGTGTATTACGAACACTATGATCTGAATAAAAATGTGCAATAACTTGATACATGGTTAAACTCACCTAAATACTCCAAACACTCACACTCGTCTTGAAACATTAGAATCCATCTTCTAATGACAGATTCTAAACAACTCCTTACGGGTCAATAGTACGACCTAGGGAGTCCAAACGTTTACTTTGACCATACATCTGCAGTCTGATACTAGATAACAGATCAATGTCCCTCCTTCTTGATTCTGCCAGCTTTCCTGCTGAGTGATCCAATAGTTTAAAACTTCCTGCAGAACGCAATAATGTACCAGCTCTCGGCTGATATCTCTCTGTGGAATCCCGGGGTAGAACTTCCTCAAGGATCCACCAAGGCCCGACCACACATCTGCCTTCTTCAAACTTTCGACTGCGAAAGCTATAGATCCCAATTCCCTAACAGCACTATGTAATGCATGGACGTCCTATTTGCTCAGTCAGTATTGGTGTGTTTTAGTGCATATCCGCACGCGACAGCAGACCATGAGCATTCCTCGCCATCCAAGGAGGCTTCCATAAATGCATAGCCAATACACAGTGCTATGGTACTGGACTCATCCAAGGAATGTCACGTCCTGCTGATAACTGTTTAACCTGACTTCCATATACTGAAACTCTCATTCCTCACAAGCTATGCCTAACAAATCTCTGGAAAACTTCTCGATCATAAGCAAGATGATCTGCTTCTGGAGATCTGGAGATCATCCGCCACATCCTGCACCAATCTTCTCTTTGGCCCTCATCTTCCTGTCTTCCCAGGCACATACAAGCCCATTATTGTTCTTTCCGAACTTTCGTAACGTTTCAAGTGACCAAAATATTTCAATTTTCTGTGTTTTATCATCTTTAATAGCCAATCTTCTTCACTATTCAGTTCTTAAAGTATGAACACATTTTTTTTTTTTTTACCCATGATATTCTTAGAACCCCTCTATAACATTTGATTTTGATTACCTACACAAAAATTTCCACTATTGTTTCATAGAAGCAGAATCATACATCTATGTACACATTACCTTGATGGTGTTGGATTTTTCTTGTGCATCGTTCCTAAATATATTGTCATGTCTTCCACTTTCCACGATACTGACTCTGAAAACCCCTGTTAGATATAAACATAGTAGTGCTGTCATGATAAATAAAGAATATTCTATGCAATCTTTCTTTTGCAAATGATATACTACAGTGAATCATAGACAGCTGGAAAATTAGTAAAGGACTGAGTGAAGGCGGTGGAGATGTGGTTTTATAAATACATTACTAGAATACCCTGAGAGGCTAAAAACAAGGATTTGAAGATGTCTTGAAAGAAAATGATTCACGAAGAGAGCCGAATGCCCACATCAGAAGGAGACAATCTACATTCTTTGGTCATGTCATGAGAAAGAGACAATTTGAGTATGTTGTGACGATGGAAAATTTGCAGAGGGAGATCAAGAGAGAAGATGCTGGACAGTCTGACATCATAGCATGGAAGATCATCTGTGTCAGAACTGACTGAAGTACATGAGACTGACCACTAATGCCATTTGGACTATATAAAGTTGCCGTAAAAATGAAAACAAACAACCATCACTTAAGAATGTTACACTGCAATAGAATAGTCACTGGTGAACTTGTCTACCAATCTGGTCATCGTGGGTTTAAAGTTTCCTTGTGATTTGTTTTCTCTTCCACCTCATAGCTTCAGGATAACTTGGTCTCAGAACATTTGTAGATTTCATATGCAACAAATACAACTCTTCTGAGAATATGTGATACATCTCATATGCAAAATCTTTTTGTCAAAGAACTAAAGATTTATAATAAAGGTAACAACAGACAAACAAAAAAGACTTTTCTGTCATCACCCCAACAGAGCATAAGCTCTCAACTATCTAATATTTCATATTCTTTATTTGCCCTTTTAAGGGTGGCTGACATGCTGTGCTGTGGTTACAGCTAGGCTGCACTATCTTAGCCTTTCGGCCCAACACATAAAATATCACCAAGTCCTTAATTAGCCCTCTTTTATGATATGCTTGTTAAGAGGTAATAAAGCTATCCCCCCCCCCCCCCCAGCCACCCCCCCGCCCAAAAAAATGGGACCCCAGAACCCACACATCATTCTCTCTAGCAAGTCATTTTCTCTGTTTACCTATCCTGTGTGTATTTTTTTTTCTCCACTTGTTTTTTAGTCTCCCTTTTGAAGACTTGCAGTTAGCCTTTTCTTTGAAATGAATTAAGTTTAGATCAACCCCCCTTTGGTTGCCTTTTACAGAATGCTTGCCAGGTAAGAGTGAGATGAGTCTTTGCTTCATCGATAATCAACTAATTAATTTACAAAATTACTGAAATTATAAAAGTTTTATCCAGTATTTTAAGCAGAAACGAATAATGAATTAAGAGTAAAAATAAAAGTAGAGATTTTAGGGAAAAACAAGAAAAGACCCATTGTCTACCCAACAAGCATGTCGTAAGAGCCAATTAACTGGGAGTTTCCTTCGAAGTCAGAGTATATCTGCCAGAGTGGCAAGGAACAACCAACTGCTCACAAATAAGCCAGTAAAACAGCTGTACATGCAAAACTAGGGCCTTGGCACAAAGCCAAAATTCAAATCAATGAACAACCAGGACTTTTTGCCAGAGCTTACAGCCAGTGAACAAAGAAGAAGAAGATGTTGAGATATTACATACTGGATAGCTGTGATACTTGAAATGTTCAAAGCATACCTGTGAATCACTATATAATGCCAGTTTGCACTGTTGAAAGCGAACTGTCTTCCTCTTAAACTTCCTTGATTTAGCATCACAGTATTGCAGTTTACTTGCCAGATCGTGGTTTCGGTTGAACTGAAAAATGAACATGATGTCAACACTGATTTAATCTGAATCTGTCAGTTTTTGACAAAGTTACTTTGTACAGATCATCATTAACTATTGAATGTCATGCCAAGCAACACAGGAAATTATCAGGTGTCTTGCCAAGCAGCAGAGGCAATTATGCTTAACTACAAACTTGCTTCTCCTTCTTGTCAATATCTGCTTACGCCACTAGGCGAGCGTCGCAGTTCATCAGACGATCAGCAGCCGAGCCAGGGTGCGCTCAGTTGCTTGATATGTGTGATGTTATGCAGTCTTAAGGTGACTTCTTCAATCCATCTTCTTCTCGGTCTTTCCCTGCCTCTTGATGTTTCCATTTTCAGATTGAACGCTCTTGCTGCTGGATTGTTGGTTTCATTTTCATTAGATGGCCAAACCATTTCATTCTTTGTTTCTCAAAAAATTTGACGATGAGTGTTGTTCAACCAGTTCTTGTAATCACGTCGTTTCTCACTCAATCTCATGGTTTTATTCACGGCCATTCTTAAACATCTCATCTCACAGGTGGTTAGTTTTCTTTTATGTTCTTTTGTCAATGTCCAAGTCTCACATTGGTAACCTAACGTTGGTTACAAACTTGCTTATATATAGTAAATACGTTACTTGCATTAAATTAAATATAACCACAAAATTATTTAAAAAAAACACACACACTAGTTTGATTTTAAAATTCAGTGACATAAATAAACAACCTGACCGAAACCTGAAGCTTCTGAATTGTTAGACATAGGAGGACAATTAAATGGCAAGAAAAGGAAACAGTTTCAACAATCTGTATCATCATCATGTTATTTTCACACCATATACCCCTCAGACCCATAATATTTTTCAAAAGATCTGGATACGGAACAAGACAAAGACCAAGAAAATTAGGCAGACAGACAATGTAAATATGCCCTCTGAAGAGAAAACAAGTTTCCCAGAGAACATGATGGTAAATGAAGAAGCAAAAACAAGCTGCCAGGTCTGCCAGATTGGCTACTGTGAACAGCGGACAAGTAATTGACTGTACTGTTGCTCTCGCAGCAGTAGGATGATTATACAAACTGGCAAAGAGATGAATCTGCAGCCTTTACCAGACTGCAAGCCAAAAGGGGTGAACGAACAAACTTTATTTTCAAAGGGAAACTATCATACATTCACAGACATACATGCATGCCCAAACACAACATATGCATTCATAAATACCACACACATAAACATGAACACATGATAGTGCGCGCACATACAGAGAGAGAGAGAAAGAGAGAGAGAGAGAGAGAGAGAGAGAGAGAGAGAGAGAGAGAGAGAGAGAGAGAGAGAGAGAGAGAGAGAGAGAGAGAGAGAGAGAGAGAGAGAGAGAGAGAGAGAGAGAGAGAGAGAGAGAGAGAGAGTTTTATGCACAGAAGGCAGAATAGAGCATTATGTAAGAAGGGCCAAAGAAGAAATAGTGAACAACCACAGTACTTGTTATCTCAATGAGTACATTGTGAGGGAATATACTGAGAAAAGAGTATTAACACTCAATGACTGAATGGTTCAGTCCATAGTAAGAATGTTCTCTAACTTAGAGTTTCCAAAGACATGTGTTCAATGAATGTGTGAGTTAGGAAAAGAGATATCCTTCTTCTTTCTCTTCGTATTCACTGGCTGTTAACTCTAGTGGAAAGTTCTGGTTGTTCACCCATTTCTGGACTTTAGTCTTGTTCCAGGTTTGTATGTACATCCATTTTACAGATCTGGCTTTTTTGTATGAACTGTTGGTTCCTCGCCTCCCAGGTGGATGCACTCTGACTTTGAAGAAAACACTCCTAATTATTCGCCTCCTATGACATGCTTATAAGGGAGGCAGCTAGTCTATCCCTTTTTTCTCCCCTCCCACAATGAGGTTCCGGAACCTACACGGGGAGCGATACCATCCACACTATGCCAGATAACAGACAGCAGCTTCAGCTAAACGACGGCCATGGCCAGATTTACTTACACTGTTGTCAAGTTTCTCCAGCAGTTCAGGGCCCTGCACACACAAACAGACCGAGCTATCCTCCAGTACCCAGCTCTCCCATTCCGCCCAGCGTTTTGTGGTAACTGCCACCAAGTCCTCAGGAAAGAGAGGCCTCTCTACAACAGACAAACAAAAACAATCTTTTACAAACCTCGTTTAACAGGAATAAGAAAAACTCACCAACACAAGAAAATATAAAACACTTTTGAAATACCAGTGTGTTACAAGGTCTATTTGGGAAACAAAGAACAATAACACTTGTCACATATGCATGTTATAACTGCACATCGCTACCCGTACAGAATTGCAGGTTACATTAGGCCTGGGCATTAAGGTAGGGAACATATGTTACTTATTCAGCAAGCTCCATCTCTTGGGCTGTTTGTTACTCCAAACAAAAGGCGACACCAATATGTCTGGGACAAAGAATGCTGCAGAAGCTGCCAGATCAGAAAAGTAGTGTTCCATCAGATTGCCGGAGCTTTCCTTCCAAACCAGATGCCAAACAAGGCTAAGGGCCTGGTTTGCCTTGCTATAACAATAAGTTTGATAGGATCATTTCCCACGGCTTCAGGTGGATCGTGCACATAGTGCTAGACTTATATTTTATAGACCAATCAGCACTTGGACTTTACCTGTTAACCATTTAAGGTTGCATCTATCCGGGAGCCATGGTCATTTTTTATCCATTCAGATGTGAAGCCACAACCTTAGGATCCACAGGTGAGTATCTAACATCTACATCATGTCGGTTCTCATGTAATAATAAAAATAATAATAATAACAGTAAATACCTAAAGCTCCCCTGAACAACTGCTCATATAAAATATAACTTCTCAGATCAGGTGCAGCTTTGTTTCTCTTCAGGTCATCCATCGCTTCCTTAGCTGTCTTGCTCTCGGTGACCAGGATGTTGACTGACTGTCCTTCCTTGCACAGAAGGTGAACTGGGGTCAAAATTCCTGTCGCAGGCTTTTCGGCAATTGTCTGAAAAAATCATTTTGCCGTTAAGCATTACTAATTATGCTAAACCAGCCAAATAATATCAATAACTCTACCAAGAACAAACTAAATATTTAATTGAAGAATAAATGATGCAGTTAAGTCAATAATTATTTGTGAAAATATACCCATAACAATTTACATAGTTAAATCAAAAATTCTTTGGATCACCACAACGAGTAATTCAGATGTTTAAAAAAAAAAAAAAAAAAAAAGTAGGGCCTGATGAGAACTTATCACAAACATCAAAAAGAGACAATTATCATTTATGGCCTTGTCATCACAGAGGGACACTGGAACATGGTGTGACCACTGAGAAACATTTAGGGGAAAAAAGGAAGAGGATGACAACATAAAAAGATTCTTGACAGCCCTTTGTCATATGGAGGAGTTAAAGTCAAGAAGATCAATTTCAGGTCACCGCGTTTTATCCCACATGGCTTGGTCTCTGTCTGCAAAATGGCTAGCCACCTGCTGAAAGTATCACACAAAGCACAAATACTGCAGTTCCAGTGAAGATCCGCAGGATTCTCCATAAAACTTGCACTCATGAACTGAACTGAACATGCAGCCATGAAATGACCCACGACCTTTAGAATGTGAGGCAGACAGCTTGGCCTCTCCACCACGGAGACCATCATGGAGAAGTGTCAGCACATAAACTACTACATGCTGCTGGAGATAGTAGGTTGTGGTTTATGATCCATTTTTCTGGCCTTGGCAGAAGAAATACGTCATTATCATAATCAAAAGCCCCGACGACCTAGAGGGATGATTATGCTTCTCCTTACTGCCATTAGTTTGACTGTGCCAAGATAATTGTACCTACCCACCTGTCTACAAATTTTTCCATTTCCGTGGATGTGCGAATGGCTGGCCTAAACTTAATCTTTGTGCCGGGTTATGTAGGTGTTCAAGGCAAAGAGCAAACAGATTATCATGCAGATTCTGTGGTTGCTACGACTGGTCCGGTACCGGACAGAGATGATGTTATTAATGTCATGTGCAGCACTGATCCAGATTGTGAGCGGTATCATCAGTATTTGAACTCTGCACTGGCTGCTGATTATGAAGATGGAGCAAGCATGGGAATGCCCAGAGTTCTGTGATGTCAATTCTTAACTCAATACAACTCATGTGCGGCACTGATCACTTACACTGTGGTATTTCTATCTTCTTGGTGATAAACCATACTTTCTGTTTTCTTACAACTGAATCCCCTAGTTGCTCATTCTGTGCAACCACAGCATGGATTAAATGCTTTTATTTTTCTACCCTTCAGTCCCCAGCAGTACACAGGCCCTCAACCAACTCTCACAAAGTTGTTCTATCTTTTGCTATCTCATGTACCTCACTCTCTGTCCCCCACACCATTTTCTGAAATCCCCTCTCCAGGTGTTTTATCCAAGTTTATCCATCTGAACCCCTGGGTTCTAATGCAAGAACATTCTAGTTATATAAATGGAAGAGCTACCTTCAGCTTATCTTGGTTCCATTTCTGGATCTCCATCTCTGCTCGCTGAATGTTATCTCTGATCAAGCGTTCGGTGTCGTTTATCTAAAGATGAATATAATTTTTTTTAAAATACAAAATATTAGTACATGTTTGAGATAAATAATCTCCAAAAGCTGGTAAATTAAAATTACAAAGTATTGTGATAAGTATTGTGATAAGTATTGTGATAAGTATTGTGATAAGATCAAGCGGCGTCCATGGCTTAGGCATTGCGAATCCAATTCGTAATTCCAACATACCGCGATCAAAACCCAATGCTGGTTGAAAGGATTTTTATCCTGGTATGGGGCGTCGCATGTCGATCCAGCATAAAAAAGGTACCAGGATGTATGTCCTGGGGAAGTAAAAACAGCTGACATAATGCTGACCACATTACCCACCTAGTGTCGATTGGTCTGTAAAAATATGGGTGCTCTTTCCATATGCCCGAAGTGTGTAAAGGTATGAAAATGGATCTTTACTATACTTTAATAAGATCTGGTTTGGTCATCTTGTCAGAATGAAACAAAGTCAGCCAGCAGGTAGAGAATACCATATGAGAACAGTTTAGAGGCCAGGTTTTATACCACATGGCTTGGTTTCTCTCCACAGAGTGGCTAGCCGCGTGTCGAAAGTGCCGCACAGAGCTCAAACTCCGTAGCTCCGGCGATGATACCCAGGGATCTCCGTAAAAAACGCACCCGTGAACTGAAAGGTGCCCTTGTGGAACGAATCCATGACCTTCAGAACGCGAGGCAAACAGCTTGATCGACTTCTCCACAAAGAGCTTTTACATGATCCTTGTAAGGGGACAGTGAATCTATTCTCGTTTCACCCAAACTGGGCATCCGAAACCACACAGGGAAAATTTCATTACAATAAAAAAAATAACCCTAAACTGAAGGTAAAAATGACATAATGTTTCTTTACGTGCATGCATACACATGTGCTTATGTGTAACTTCCATTCAACAACTGTAGGAAAAAAATTACTTATATGTAAAGACAATTTCCACTCAAGTTTGTGACTTACATTAAAGAAATAGTCAGCATTGCTCAGGAGATCAACCATAATGCTGATTTCCTTACTTGAAACATCTGAGGTCAGACTTGGTTGCTGTGGAATAACATGAACATTTCATGAGGCTTTATTAATATCCTACCCCAAACAGGGGAAATCCATAGGTCATGGGCCAGTCTAATATTTCAGGGGGGTGGTAGAGAGGCTGAATGCAGTCATGGGACCTAGGCTGCATGCAGTCGTAGGACCTAGGCTGCACTCTCTCGTGGGACATAGGTGGATTGGGGTGCGGGACGAAGGTGGTATGAGATGAGGGCCAGTTCTAGATGTTTTGGGGTTGTTAAAAGCATCAGAAAGCCAGAAAACCTAGTCTTACCACCATATAAAATGTTGGACTGTCCTGTGACGACATTTGGGGTAGGAAATTAACAAAGCACTTATTTTATTTCAGCAAGGGATTTTCCCAGGTGGGTGCCGGTGTCCGATTCAAAGGGGGGAAAAAAATAGAATAGAATAGAATAGAACCACTGAACCTGTAGTATTGTTTTTGAGTCAGCATTACACCTTAAAATATAAGCTCCGTCTATCCAAGTGCCAGTCCTGACCTACGGGTGTGAGTCATGGGCAATGACAACAGCTCACAGAAGCCAGCTTCAGGCCTCAGAAATGAGATGTCTGAGAAAGGTGGTCCAAGGGACAATGTTCGCAACCAGACAATACATCAGGGTCTTGAAACCCAGGCCTTACAAACTCGAGTAGATGAGTCAGTTGTGATGGTTTGTACTTGTGTAAAGAATGGGAGAGAATTGGCCATCACAGCAGACATAGGAAGCCAAGAACTAGGGAACCAGAACTTCAGGGTGACCCAGGGTTCAATGGAAAGACAACATCCGACAGTCCCTAAATGACAGATGACTGGAATGGAATAAAGCAACAACAACAAAAAAACTGCTGATAGAGAAGTCTGTCTATCTCTACACCCAAGGGTAGAAGAGGAGCGACTAAGTTTGTAAGTACATTTGCTTTGGGAGATGGAACATCTATTGTTAAGCCCAGTATACTATAATGTTGATCCTAACTCAATAATTCTTCCTACTGTCCATGCCATATGTTGTTGATAACCATATCTGTCCACAACTTTCTGTCTTGTGTACTGTCAATCATTACTGACAAAGAAGCTCTTCGCCGCCATGATGTCAAACTGTCATTCACCTCTCTTCTGATGAACTGTATTTCTAGCATTTAACTGTTTGTGTTGGCACTTCTAGTGGCTGCCCCGAAAAACCGATTTTGTTTACACAAATCACGCCAACATTGTTACCTCATCTGTTGCAGTCCTCAAGAGAGATGGAGCAAAGCAGGAAGCCAAGTTTGTGATGGACATCAGGTTGACAGTTTCAGACTCGGAGACCCTGAAATATGAAAGGTGATGATTATGTTATGTTATGTTATCATAATCAACGTCACTGCACATTGGTCATTCTCATGCATGCTTAGTCCTTTAACCCTCTTAGCACGGACGGGCCGATTATCGGCCGGCGGATGTCTTGCCAAAAACACGGAACGGCCGATGATCGGCCCGATCGTGTTTCGCCTCGAACCGCTAAGAAATCTCCTACTTTGAAACACTGAAAGTGATTCATTTATATTAACTGCGGTATCAGCTTTACACATGGCGACTTTCGAGTGTTTGGTATCGAAGTGAAAATTGTTGTTGAATTTTTTAAATAGTGACCTGAACCGCTAAAAGTATGTCTGACTCGTATGTTTCTGCCCCTAAACTTGATGTTGGTAAATCATTTGAATCAAGTGTTGACACTAATTCTGTTGATACTGATACAGGATTTAGTGTTAGTAGTTATAGTGGGAATCAGATGGGGACGCTGTTGTGTTCAGACCACAGCCCAACCATGGCTCAGGGTATATCCACCCGAAGGTGTTGACACTCCGGCACATCCATTTATAGTGCTGACTGATGGTGAAAAACACATGTCACCTAAAGATATTATTGCTGTTTCACATATATATACCTGTTTTTGACTATTGAATTGCTTACAACATTTGTAAAAAGGCCAAAGATCAATAAAAAGATTTCAAATTAAAAAAATTTTTGTTTTTAGTTTTATGTTTCAAGCATTGAAGTTGAAAATTCAAATTCATATTTTCTGTTTTTAGATATGCAAATGAGATAATTTGCATATACATCAATTAATTTTAACGATATTGTGAAAATCACGAACTTCAATCTATATCCTTCAAATAGATATATTATTTCATAGGGGTCAGAATAACAGAAATCTGTCAAAAAAATTAAATAAAGTAATAACCAAATTCACTGAAAAAATGCTCCGTGTTTTTGGCTAGACCTCTGAAAAACTTCCCGTGCTAAAAGGGTTAATGCAGCAGCCACTCCAAGGTACCTCTTATAACTGTTCCCATGAGGATTTGGTTACAATCCCTCCTATCTTAGCCTCAAAGGCGGCATAGACATATTTCACCATGCTTTACTCCCAGTCAACAGTTTCACTTATCTAGGGAGCAAGATAAGGAGATACCGCACCAGAAATACCATTTAGAATAGCACTGGCATCTAGTGCCTTCAATAAACTGTCCAACATCTGGAAATCAAAGACACTTAGCAAACACACAAAACTCAAGATCTTCAATTCTTGTGTGATTCCAGTACTAACCTATGGATGCGAGAGCTGGAAATCAACGAAAACTCTAGACACAAAATTAGACAGTTTTGAAAATAAATGCCTTAGAAGAATACTAAATTTCAAATGGTCAGATTTCCGAACCAATACACAAATAAGGCAAGAATCTAGGCAAGAGTATGTGTCTAATTTTATACGAAAACGCCGCTGAAACTATGTCGGCCACGCCCTTAGAATGGATAAATCAAGACTTCCTTACCAAGCCCTCATTTGGACACCACAGGGGAAAAGATCTTGTGGAAGACCAAGGGAAACCCTACGAAGAACTATCATCAGGGAAGGCTCACTCATGGGCCACTCAAACATCCAAGACCTACAACAGATTGCAACGAACCGCCATGCATGGAGAGTCATGACCTCTGCCCTATGTGCCGCACTCGACACAAGAGGAAAGACTAACTAACTTACTCCCAGGTCACACAACTGAGTTATTGTCAGAGATTTGTCCTTATCCACAAGCCCAGTCTGTACAGCATTGATGATATCTGTTCTATCCAAGCTTTTTCTTGCAAGCATTGTCTACTGGTGATGCTTATTAATATTAGGAAGAGGAATTCAACTGCTCTAGCTACGTAGCCTTCAACTGTTTCACTCTTTTCAAGAATTCACTTTTATCTTCCTTCCTTTCTTTATCCATAAGTATGTATGACAGTTTACACGGATAAGTGATTAAAGAGGACTATTATCACAGCAAGCTGCTCAGCTTCGATCTCCTTCCTAGTAGCTCCACAACCACAAAATGACTGATTATGTGCCTGTTTTGTGTTGATTACCCTGTTTGTCCGTGTATATGGACATTTTAAAAGTTTAAAATTGGGGACATTTTATACATGGAATGTGTTTAAAATATGTATTTCTTAATTAAAGGCTTAAACAAAATAGGGGTTGTTGTACACATGGGGGCATCTTATATGCGGAAAAATACAGGAATCAGATGTCATGTGACCATAGTGGATCCCCCCCAAAATATAACCTTTTAAGACCAATACATGGCAGACCATTACAAACCTTAAGTTTCTATGTTTTTTACCCTATTTGTCCGTATATATGGACACTTTACAAAGTTTCAAATTTGGGACATTTTATACATGGAATGTGTTTAAAATATTTATTTCTTTAAAACAAAAATTGGGGTTGTTATTCACATGGGAGCATCTCATATGCGAAAAAACACAGGAATCAGATGTCTTGTGCCCTTAGTGGAAAAAAAAAATATAACCTTTGAAGACCAATACATGGCAGACCATTACAAACCTTAACAAGTGGAGGACAATCCTTTTTAGGGTCTGGAAATTGACCAGCGGCATCTTTTCCAGGTAATACTTGTACCACACCAGTCGACTATTCTTATCCTGGCATCCTGGATTTCATTTACAAATAAATAAAAAAAAAAAAGCAAATGATGTCACAAACAGTTTCAGTGTGAAATAGGACATTTTATAGTAATAGAAGGTGTCTGTGAGTTATATACACTTTGAATTATCCTGAAAAAATGTCAACATATTTTATATAATGTATTATAACATCCATATAACATAATACCTATATATAGTTAAACAATTATAATGAAACTTTTTTAAAAGGGGGAGTCACCGTGGCCTAGCTACTAGACGCTTGCATGCAGATCGAAAGGCGGAGACCGCCTTTTTTCTTCTTCAAAAAATGACTTTGACTCCCAGGTTGACCCAGCCTTGACTGGGTACCGGATGCAGTCCCGGTAAGTAAAGCAGCCGGCGTAATGCTGACCACCTCACCCCTCTTGTGCCGATTGGTCTATAAAAATCTAGGTCTAGCCTTTAGAAAAAGGGACATTTACTTTAAAAAATTTTTTTTTATTAAGCGGTGCAAGTGAATTAAAGTAGTGGCAGAAACAAGACTAAGCTATGAGAAAAAGAAATTTATCTTAAAATGGTACTAGTAATGAAAGGTTACATCAAAATACAATTTGGTCAACATCATTAGTAATGTCTGAAGCATTACATCAATCAGTCAAACACCTTGCAATTTAACTACGAAAATATTCTACTATTTTCAATACTGTGGGTGAGACATTCTTCAACTTACACATCACATGTGACTCAGAGTTTCTACTGGCCAGACCCGTTTTAGATATTTATGTGAAAGAACTCAACTTACAAAAAAGCGATTTTTGCATATTCTAGTTTGTAACAGTAATTGTATCACTGTCTGTAAAGCTGATAAAGGCTATGATGAAGCGGCAATCTTAATTTGTCGTTTATGATTGTGATAATATGAAGATGAATAGTTATAATTGTAGTTCTAATACTAGTTCTAATTCTAGTTCTAATTCTTGTTTGGACTGAAATATTTTCAACTTCACATAGATATCAACATATGTTTCAAAGAAATCAAAATGTATGTCCACTTTTTATAAATATTCTGTTTACAAATGTGAAAAGCATTTTCTCACATAAATTTTATCATTAAAAAAAAAAAAAACTGAAAGCACAGTTGTGACCCTCAGCAACCCCAGGCAGAATCAAGCTATGAACAAATCAGGGATTACAACAGGATGGAGGAAAAGGAAGAGGAGGCTGATGAATATAAGAAGAACATGAAAGATAGTTACAGAGGAAAAAGAAGAGGGGGTAGATGATAAGGGAAAAGGATAAAGATGGTAAAGAAAAAGAAGAAAATAAGAGAAAGAAAAAAAAAAACAAGGAGAAAGAAGAAGAAGAAGAAGAAGAAGAAGAAGAAGAAGAAGAAGAAGAAGAAGAAGAAGAAGAAGAAGAAGAAGAAGAAGAAGAAGAGGAGAAGAAGAAGAAGAAGAAGAAGAAGAAGAAGAAGAAGAAGAAGAAGAAGAAGAAGAAGAAGAAGAAGAAGAAGAAGAAGAAAGAGAAGAAGAAGAAGAAGAAGAAGAAGAAGAAGAAGAAGAAGAAGAAGAAGAAGAAGAAGAAGAAGAAGAAGAAGAAGAAGAAAGAGAAGAAGAAGAATAAAGAGGAGGAGTAAGAGAAGAAACAAATAAGAGAATTACATATAGAAATTAGACAAACATTACAAAGCAGAACTCTAACCTGCCATGTTGATCCAAGAGCCGTAGTTGATCCTCTCAAACAAAGAATCCTCTAGTTCCCTGAGAAATCTCTTGAGGACATTGGCTACATCCTGGACTGTGTAATCACTCAATGACACGGACCACGCGTCTGAGCAGAGAGATGGAGAATATGCAATAATACAGACATTAAGTTTCATCATCCCTTATTCATTAAGATAAAGAGAGACCTAGTTTTTGTATCAGGTTTTTATTCTTGCTCCAGTCAAACCACATGACCAAACCATCTGGTATTTATTTCTTATTCTTCCCCTTGCTCTATTTCCATCAAGCTTGTGAGTTATCGCTAATGGGTCGCACTTTTAGTCAAAATAACTGACAGCGGCTGACCACTGACAACCAGAAAAGAGACTGAATACCTTCCTCGTGCACTCTTTGAGACGCATCCTTGGTATAGCAAGGCGAGTCTTTGTCTCCAATGACTTTGTACTGACAAGAGCAAAAACATCATAAATGTACTGTCTACTGAAGCAGGGATGTCTGCGTTGGCTGAAACATGTCTCTCACATGGAGGATGGTCGTATTCGAAAGGACCTCATGTACGATGAAGTGGAAACAGGAAACAGATCTACAGGAAGGCCAAATCTACATTATAAAGACATATGCAAACGTGACCTGACAGATACTAACATAGGCACAGAGACTTGGGAGAAATCAGCTGCAGATCAACTACTGTGGCGACAGAAAATGAAAGACGGTTTATCGCATTTTGAAAGAAACCAAACTCAGCAAGCTATAGAGAGGAGACGTCGGAGAAAAAAATCAGTCTCCTAGCGCGGAAGTATCTATTTTTGTGTGTGTGTATCCTATTTGGCAGAGACAGCCACCTCCGTGTCAGACTTTACAGTCATAGAAGATGCTGTTCCCAAAACCAGCGGCATACCTGTTTCAGTGAGGTTTTGCCGATGCAAATTCCTAAACTTTCATGACTGGCTGTTTGCGCAGACAGTGAGCTGCAATTTTAGTGTGAATCGGTTATTGTTGGAGTATATGACAGCTACCTTGGGCATTTTTTTTTTTTTCAAATGGGACAGGAATGAAGCAGTTATGGGGCGATCTGTCTGTAGTGATGGTGGAACCTCCTTAACTACAACGACTAATGGCTAACAGCTCTTCGTTTTTGCATTTAAGAGATGTAAATTCCGACAGAAAGTTCTGACTGTTCGCCCACTTCTGGACTCTGGCCTTGTTCCAGAACTTGAGTTTTGCATGCAGAGCAAATACCGAAGATATATATGTCCCCCAGTGATGACAGGTTGCAATTACAGAAGATATATATGTCCCCCAGTGATGACAGGTTGCAATTACAGAAGATATATATGTCCCCCAGTGATGACAGGTTGCATTTACAGAAGATATATATGTCCCCCAGCGATGACGGGTTGCAATTACGGAAGATATATATGTCCCCCAGCGATGACGGGTTGCAATTACCGAAGATATATATGTCCCTCAGCGATGACGGGTTGCAATTACGGAAGATATATATGTCCCCCAGCGATGACAGGTTGCAATTATGGAAGATATATATGTCCCCCAGCGATGACAGGTTGCAATTATGGAAGATATATATGTCCCCCAGTGATGACAGGTTGCAATTACGGAAGATATATATGTTCCCCAGTGATGACAGGTTGCAATTACCGAAGATATATATGTCCCCCAGTGATGACAGGTTGCAATTACCGAAGATATATATGTCCCCCAGTGATGACAGGTTGCAATTACAGAAGATATATATGTCCCCCAGTGATGACAGGTTGCAATTACAGAAGATATATATGTCCCCCAGTGATGACAGGTTGCATTTACAGAAGATATATATGTCCCCCAGCGATGACAGGTTGCATTTACAGAAGATATATATGTCCCCCAGCGATGACAGGTTGCATTTACAGAAGATATATATGGCCCCCAGTGATGACAGGTTGCAATTACAGAAGATATATATGTCCCCCAGCGATGACAGGTTGCATTTACAGAAGATATATATGGCCCCCAGTGATGATGGGTTGCAATTACGGAAGATATATATGCCCCCCAGCGATGACGGGTTGCAATTACGGAAGATATATATGTCCCCCAGCGATGACGGGTTGCAATTACGGAAGATATATATGTCCCTCAGCGATGACGGGTTGCAATTACGGAAGATATATATGTCCCCCAGCGATGACAGGTTGCAATTACGGAAGATATATATGTCCCCCAGTGATGACAGGTTGCAATTATGGAAGATATATATGTCCCCCAGCGATGACAGGTTGCAATTATGGAAGATATATATGTCCCCCAGTGATGACAGGTTGCAATTATGGAAGATATATATGTCCCCCAGTGATGACAGGTTGCAATTACGGAAGATATATATGTCCCCCAGCGATGACAGGTTGCAATTATGGAAGATATATATGTCCCCCAGTGATGACAGGTTGCAATTATGGAAGATATATATGTCCCCCAGTGATGACAGGTTGCAATTACAGAAGATATATATGTCCCCAAGCGATGACAGGTTGCAATTACAGAAGATATATATGTCCCCCAGCGATGACAGGTTGCAATTACAGAAGATATATATGTCCCCAAGCGATGACAGGTTGCAATTACAGAAGATATATATGTCCCCCAGCGATGACAGGTTGCAATTACAGAAGATATATATGTCCCCCAGCGATGACGGGTTGCAATTACAGAAGATATATATGTCCCCCAGTGATGACAGGTTGCAATTACGGAAGATATATATGTCCCCCAGCGATGACTGGTTGCAATTACGGAAGATATATATGTCCCCCAGTGATGACAGGTTGCAATTACAGAAGATATATATGTCCCCCAGCGATGACAGGTTGCAATTACAGAAGATATATATGTCCCCCAGCGATGACAGGTTGCAATTACAGAAGATATATATGTCCCCCAGCGATGACGGGTTGCAATTACAGAAGATATATATGTCCCCCAGCGATGACGGGTTGCAATTACAGAAGATATATATGTCCCCCAGTGATGACGGGTTGCAATTACAGAAGATATATATGTCCCCCAGCGATGACGGGTTGCAATTACAGAAGATATATATGTCCCCCAGTGATGACGGGTTGCAATTACAGAAGATATATATGTCCCCCAGTGATGACAGGTTGCAATTACAGAAGATATATAAGTGATGAACAAGCCCTTAAAAAAAAAAACCTGTAACAATCATCCCAACTGTTGCCCTCAAATTCAGCTCACCCCACATCTTACTCTTGAATTTTTATTAAAATCCGTTTACAGTTTTCTTGATTTTTGTGGCTAAATAAAAGTATGAAATAGCCAAACAAAAACCTAGTTTTAGCCCCTAACGATATACCTGGTAGGATTAGTGCTCTATCTAAAGGTCCCAGTAACACTAGCATTTCTCCCCATAATAAAAAGCAACACATTTTTCTATGTTTAATTTCTCTAATCTATTCATAAACCAGCTCAAACATCAAACCAACCTTTCCGGAAATGATCCAGGAGCTCTTGCACTTTACTGTTCTGACCAGCAGTTCGGTAAATCCCCTTCTCCTCAATGCCATTCATGTGGATGTGAGTTATGCACCTTTCAACAATCACTGGCACATTTTCATTGGTCAAGGCCTGATCATTGAGAGTTGTCCCACTGCCCTGTTAGAAACATCAGATTGACTTATTTTAAATCAATCTTAACAGTGGCACTCAACAAAAGTAGTCATACATTTATTATACCTAAGTGTATTTGTCATTTAGAGTGGTCCCACTGCCATATAATCTACGAATTAGAAATCAATTATAGAAACACCTTGAACGAACACCCAGTTGACATGAGTCATGCCGGTGTGCTGAGAAATGAGCAACCACTTAGACTAGCTGGCTCTGCACCACTTGGTGGTGAATTGATGAATGTAAAGTTAGATATTGTGAGGGCCCTTTGGAAGAGAGTAAACAGTGCGGAGGCGCAGAAAGATCATTACAGTCTAAGGAGAATGGCGCAGCGAGGAGTTACCAGGGGATCTGGCCAATGCTCAACACTCAGGGGAAGGATGAAACGGATATACAATCAAATGGTTACTGGTACCATTAAAAATGGAACTCTTGGCTTGCTGCTGAAGATGGAGACTGTGGGTGTCCTGAGTGTTGTGATGTTGATTCTTAATTCAACCTTCAACATTTAGTTGAAATGAACAAAATGTTGATTCTGGAAGGGATGTACATGCCCAGGGTATCCCATAAGTTTTCATACACATGGAAAAAAACACATCACCAATGACATTGCAAACATAACTCCAGTTGTGCTCATAAGTTATCTTCAGTATTCGAGGACAAACAGCAAAATGTCTTTTCATAAAAAAAAAAAAAATTTAAAGAAAAATGAAAACCCATTTTTATTGACAAAATATGCTCTACATCAGGGGTTCTCAAACTGTTTTCGCCGCGGCACCCTTGTGGGGCAAAATAAAAAAAAAAAAAAAATTCGCTGCACATCTACACTCACAGCGGTTGAAAAACTAGGGAAAGAGGGAAAAAAAGATTGAGATTTAATGTTCAGTTGTTTTTAATGCGATTGATGAAACTGTCTGAATGAATTTATCATTATAAACTTTTAATTTTTATTTTTAGAAATTCTCTTCATGGATGACCCTCCCTCTAGAGATCTTCTTCTTCTTCGCGTTCACCAGCTGTACACTCTGGCGGAAAGTTCTGGTTGATCGTCCACTACTGAACTGCAGTCCTGCTCCAGAACCTGAGTGTTGCACGTGCATCAGTTTTACAGATCTCATTCTCTTGAATACAGACTGTTGGTTCCTTGCCTCTCCGGCAGATGCACTCCGACTTCAAAGGAAGCTCCCCAATTAGTCGACTCTTACGACATGCTTTTTGGGAGGCAGTGGGTCTATTCTTGTTTATCCCCACAATGAGGCCCTGGAACACTCACAGGGAGCACAGATTTTTAAAATATGAACTCCTGATTTTTCGGTTTCCAAAAATTCACGTTAACGAGGTTTTCCTGTATAACAGCGGCATTCAAAAGTAGTCATAGATTTATTATACACATGGGCATATACTTGCCTGTCAAGATAGTGGAGTAGGTTTAATCTCCAAGAGGGGCAGGATTATCTGCCTGATCAATTATGGCTTTGGGGTTCACCAAGGTTAAAAAAAATGGCTCCCAGGCAACTTTCAGAATCTTATAGGAAAGAAAACCAGCTGTGAAATGAGATGTTTGGGGAAGGTTGCAAATAAAATCCGAAAAGATTTAGCGAGAAAAAAAAAGATTTGAAGAACTAATGGAAGATCAGCGCTTGGTATGCTGTGATTCTGTGAAGACAGGTTATTGAAGACAAAACTAGAAGAGATCCTATGAGAAATAAAGAGACTAAAAGAACTACTGAAACAACACCTAGTTAAATTCACTGAGAAACAAAAGGCTGAAATGGTTCAGCCACCTAATAAGAATGAACCTCCTGATGCCTGTAGTGAGGGCATACAATATGAAAATGGAAACATCAGAGGCAGAGGAAGAATACGGACTGAAGGAATCAATGACAACCTAAGACTTCACACATCACAGCATACCAAAAGTGCCCTAGCTAGCAGCCGGTTATCTGGTAACTGTGACACCTAGCAGCACAAAGCAGATCATAAATGATAACAGTGGTTGTAGACACTGCAGTAATGCTGTTATGAAGGTTCAAAGTTGTTTTCGACACCGTAGTAATACTGTGTGAGATGAAGGATAAAAGTGGTTTCTGATGCTGTAGTCATGTTGTGATGAAGGATAAAAGTGGTTTCTGACACTGTAATAATGCTGTGATGAAGGATAAAAGTGGTTTCTGATAATGTAATAATGCTGCGATGAAGGATAAAAGTGGTTTCTGATACTGTAGTAATGCTGTGATGAAGGATAAAAGTGGTTTCTGATACTGTAGTAATGTTGTGATGAAGAATAAAAATGGTTTCTAGTAATGTAGTAATGCTGTGATGAAGGATAAAAGTGGTTTCTGATACTGTAGTAATACTGTGTGAGATGAAGGATAAAAGTGGTTTCTGATACTGTAGTAATGCTGTGATGAAGGATAAAAGTGGTTTCTGACACTGTAATAATGCTGTGATGAAGGATAAAAGTGGTTTCTGATAATGTAATAATGCTGCGATGAAGGATAAAAGTGGTTTCTGATACTGTAGTAATGCTGTGATGAAGGATAAAAGTGGTTTCTGATACTGTAGTAATGTTGTGATGAAGAATAAAAATGGTTTCTAGTAATTTAGTAATGCTGTGATGAAGGATAAAAGTGGTTTCTGATACTGTAGTAATACTGTGTGAGATAAAGGATAAAAGTGGTTTCTGATACTGTAGTAATGCTGTGATGAAGGATAAAAGTGGTTTCTGACACTGTAATAATGCTGTGATGAAGGATAAAAGTGGTTTCTGATAATGTAATAATGCTGCGATGAAGGATAAAAGTGGTTTCTGATACTGTAGTAATGCTGTGATGAAGGATAAAAGTGGTTTCTGATACTGTAGTAATGTTGTGATGAAGAATAAAAATGGTTTCTAGTAATGTAGTAATGCTGTGATGAAGGATAAAAGTGGTTTCTGATACTGTAGTAATGCTGTGATGAAGGATAAAAGTGGTTTCTGATACTGTAGTAATGCTGTGATGAAGGATAAAAGTGGTTTCTGATACTGTAGTAATGCTGTGATGAAGAATAAAAGTGGTTTCTAATACTGTAGTAATGCTGTGATGAAGAATAAAAGTGGTTTCTGATACTGTAGTAATGCTGTGATGAAGAATAAAAGTGGTTTCTGATACTGTAGTAATGCTGTGATGAAGGATAAAAGTGGTTTCCGATACTGTAGTAATGCTGTGATGAAGAATAAAAGTGGTTTCTGATACTGTAGTAATGCTGTGATGAAGGATAAAAGTGGTTTCTGATACTGTAGTAATGCTGTGATGAAGGATACAACTGGTTTCTGATACTGTAATAATGCTGTGATGAAGGATAAAAGTGGTTTCTGATACTGTAGTAATGTTTTTATAAATATTGACAGTGGTTTCAGACATGGCAATAATGCTGCTATGAGTTGGTTTTGCCAGAGCAGCTGCCACAAAGCCTACCTTTACCTAATCACTAAGTGATGATGATTTAACTAACAATATCAACAATACTGCTAAATTCAGCTAAAATAAAGCTAAAGTAAGCTACCGTGCTGGCTTCCAGAAAGGCTGCATACATTTTCTCAGTGTCCCTGGGAAGTGTAGCTTGCAGGTAAACAGATCTGAGTGAGACAGAAACAACACTGGTCTCAGTATATAGAGCTATACAAACGCATACACAACTGAGACTGTCATAGTAAACATATGTCTAGAATTTTATCACTATAAAATCTTGTCTGATTTGAAAGTCTGCCTATCTAATACAATTTGTGATCCAGACGTCTGGTATAACATTCTTCATGACCTGGTGGAGGCTGACTTTATTTTTTTCAAAAATGACCTTGGCTCCTAGGTAGACCGAGCCTTGAGTGGGTACCAGGTGTAGTAGCGGGAAGTAAAGGTGACCGGCGTAATGCTGACCACATCACCCATCTTGTGCCGACTGGTCTATAAAATAAAGTTCTAGCCCTATATGCATTAAGGCGTGGAAAAGGGTCCTTTACTTTACTTTGACTTTATATATATATATATTTAAAATTCAGACATGCAGACTAATGAATTAAAAAACATTATTAGTGACCTGTATAATATGGCTTTTTTCTTAACTCTTTAAAGACCTATTGCCAGTATACTGGCAAATAAATTTATCCCTAATGGCTGAATCACCAGTATATTGGAGTATGATAGAGACACTCTAATTTTGTTCCATTTGTTGGAAAAACAAACTTTTATGAACATGTTTTAGAACAATTAGGATTAACAACAGGAAGTCCTTTCATTTGCGAAGTTCATCATGGTCAGTGCATTATTTTCTGATTTAAAAAAAAAATTATTTGGACGGATACAATTTTTACTAAATGATAAGAGAAAAAGTATAGAACTGTTCAAACTGCTCTGTTGTTAATGAATCTCTGCCAGATGGTGATATCTAAGTGACAAACCTACTGTCAATAACTTAGTTCAGGATATGAAAATTTAACAAAATATTCAAATCAGATCAATGTTTCGATCAGCTGTTTTCCCGATTTTTGGTTGTTGTGAAATTTGACATGTCATATACAAATTATCATAACATGCAAAGTATTTAAATTTATTGTTTCAAATAAAGACTAGTTGATACACAATTGAACAGAGAAGGCATGTGCATTCTTAGAATTGGATAGCAGTTTGTTGAACAAGTAAAAAAGTAAGGTAAGCACAGAATTTGTTGATGTAAAAAATACTAATATGTGTCTTACATCCTTGAATGTTGTGTGATTTTAATAATATTTTGTTGTAATACTGACATTTAAAGTTAAGATTTATTCTGTACTCATTTATCTTTAATTTGATATATTATATGTCCCGATACAGCCAATTCTTTTTCTTTAGGAAGGTTTTAGCTTTGTCGCAGTAAACAAATTCCGCTCAAAATTAATACTGTCCAAACCCAAGAAAAAAAATGTGGTCCTGAAAGAGTTAAAGGATTTTCTCTAGGAAATTCCTATGGGTTCAGGAACCATCTATTTTCAGGATTTACAGGGTGAAAGGATTAAGGATCTAGCACATGTTAATACTGGGATCTTACTTTCCTGTGGAGCTGATGACAAAACACTGACCACGCTGCAAGTAAGCACTACTGGATTCTTGCATTTCTGCGAAAAGATTAAACATAGAATACAATTACTATCTGCAGGGCAGACTGAAGAGACAAAAGTCTTAGAATTCTGTAAGTGGAACAGGTAAAAATAAGCCAGCAGAGGAGTATATTCCTGCCACTGTCACAAGTCTCACTTTTTTAAAGATCAAATGGAACTTGGTTGGTGATGTGCCGAAGATACTGTGCTCAGCCATTACTTCTGATGACACCTGGTACCCATATCAGACTGGGCTGGCAGGCAAAGATCTAGCTCCTGAACTACCACGGCTCCCAGTGTGATAAGTACCATGTATTTATGGAATCTACCATCTTGTCGACAGGCGTTGCAAACATGTTTCATAATTCAAAAGTACCCAGTTTGATTCTAGCTGTAGGTGATTTGGCAGCAGACCGCTTTGCACTGATTCCGACAACAGTATAGAGAGCCAACCATTTAGAAAGCAATGGCAAACTACTTAACGTAAACTGCCTAGTACAAACATCATCATCAAGTGCCTTGCCAGCTGGCAGAGATGTTCATGCATCTCCACAGATATCGGTCTCTGGTGTTCGGGATCCATTCCACTGATGATAGTCATCCATGCCACTGTTTTGAGACATTCCTTAATCTTTTTTTTTGTCCTGCTGGTTCCAGTGAAAGTACATTCTAGTCGTATTAGTGTTTTTTGTTTTTAAAATATATGTCCTATCCAGGGCAAATGTGTTTTCATACCTCTTGATTTATTTCTATGTGAAATTATAATATCATAATACAACAGTGCATTTATCAATACTGAATCTTTGCTAGAGCAATTTCCATATCTTATTTATTAAACAGCCTTAAAAGTCTTTGGTTAAGCACCAGCAAGGAGATCAAAATAGGAATTTTGAGAGCATGCATCTTCTCTGTGGCTACATACGGATTTGAGTCGTAGACTATCTCTCAGTCCTTAAGAAAGAGAATAGGGGCTTTTGAGCTGAAATGCTACAGAGATTCTCAAAATATCTTGGACAAAGAAGAGTAGAAATACTGACATCTTGAAAGATCTGAACATCAAGGAAGACTGGCTAATAAACAGCATCCTGTCTCGGAAGCTGAAATATTTTGATCATATCAAGTGCCACGAAGGACTGGAAAAAATTATAGCAGAAGGCATGGTACCAGGAAGGAGGGGCGGGGGCCGACCAACAAGAAGATGGGCACAGGATATAAGTGACTCCTTGAGTATGAAAGTACATGAGCGGGCGAGCTGGCGAGAGACTGAGCTTCTTTCAGACAGACAGTGATGAGAGCGACATTCTACAAAGGACCTGCTACATGATGATGAAAATGATTTATGTTGTAATTACAGTAATACCTTAAAGTAATTGGTTATTTTTTTGTAAACAATAAGACTTACAGACTGCTTTAGTATCATAGAAAAGTTACAAGTAGGGAAGTAACAAATAAATGCAGTAATGTATATATCTCAACCTACTGATGCTTCCTGCCTTTCTTAGATCAATGAAGTCAAACTTGAGATCTCTGTTCATGTAGTTAATGATTCGCCAACTGAACACAATGAATGTCTGACGCCACTCCTGTTGCAGCAACACAGAAAAAAAAAAGGAAAGAAATAATTTATTAATGTGATTGTGAAGAGTATCACATACAAAAAGAGCAGGCTATCCTTGATATCCTGTGTCCACCAGCCCTGTTTTTCTTTCTAGAATCGCACCAACCGTTAGAGTATTACTGTTTTTTTCTTCTAGAATTAGGTAGTGGAAAATGATGAATGTCTGACACTAAAATGACTGCATGACCTGGGAGTAAAACTTGGTGAAGCATGTCTATACGTCCTTCGAGGCCGAGATAAGAGACATTCTAACCAACTCCTCAAGGGAACAATAAGTAGAGGTACTTTGTAGTGGCTGCTACTTCGGAGCTGTAAGCACAAATGGTAAAGCCCAATGTTCGTTTACATCGTTTGTAATAACATACTGATATTACCCATTATCCATAATCCATTACTGTAATACTGTTCTTTAAAAAATTATGATGTTTTAATTAGGGCTGCACCAAATACGAACAGCGGGACCAACTATTCGGCTGAATACGAATACAAATAGTGTATCATTATCATCAGGTGCCTTGCCGAATAGCGTGGGCGAATATGCCTCGCCACAATCTGCCATCTCCTGCAGCATGTATGAGTTCGTGTGCTGACACATCTCCATACCATGCAACAAGGCGGTCAAGCATCTTCTCTTGTTGTCTTCCTCTATCCCTCCTTCCACAGATCTTTCCAGTGGTCGCCACATGTTCCGTTTTTCCTCTTCTCATAACATGGCCGAAAAATGATGACTGTCTCCTTCCTATGTCTGTGATTAGTTGTCTTCGGGCTCCCGCCCCTTTCAAAACCTCTTGGGTTTTTTGGGGGGGGGGGGGGGGGGGGGGGGGGGGGGGGGGGGGGGCTGTCCAGGGTATTCTAAGCATTGTTCTGTAAAACCACATCTCTGAGGCCTGAAGAAATTGTTTGGTCTGGCTACCGATTGTCCAGGACTCACAACGCATTGCCTTTAAATATAAGTGCTTACTTGACGAGGCTAACAGTGTCTATTGTACAGACCCCATTTTCCACTTTCAAATTTCAGTCAAAATGTAATCACAACCTTATTTATCTGCTGGACCTTCATGAATACAGATGGGAGGATCAGTAGCACCTCGAGATAAATACAAAGACAATTTTTAGCACGCTGCGGTTGGCATTTTATGCAGTTTGATACACTTTGAGTGTGAAACAAGAAAAAAAAATCTTTTTCGACAGTGGCGAGGAAAGACAATTTAAATTTTAACTTTTAAGTATCTTCATGCCTTTTTTTAATAATGTCACAATTTATAGCCGAATTTTCTTGATTTTCGCCGCGGTACCCCTGGCATACGCACCCAGTGTGAGAACATTTGCCTGTAATGCCTCGGTGGAGTCAGCAGGCAAAGACTCTAAGCTGCTGTACCACGCAACCGGGTCGCAGTTTCCCTCGCTACAGCAGACTTAGGCAACAGCAACTATTGTGTTAATGAGAGAGTTATTCAGTCCATCACAGTGTATGCAAAATGGTTGTAAGGTAACCAATATAAGTATTCGGTCGAATACCGAATAGTTATTAAGTCCACTATTCGGCCCCCGAAGCAAATACGAAGCGAATATTCGGTACAGCCCTAGTTTTAATCTTCTTCAACATTCTGAGCCCTTGAGGTTCATAGTTTCAGATATCACCCGATCCACTCATCTCTCTGGTTGGCCTTCTCTTTTTAGTTGGTACACCAAGTTTTTGCAGGTCTGTCTGGTTGCTTTCTCTCCATTGTCTTCTTCGGTATGCCTCGTGGTCTACGACCATTCATCTCCCTTGTGTATACAGTTTTTAACCTCTGTCATTTGACATTCTCTCAATATGCCAAAGCCATTTCAATCTATTATATCTCATGATGCCTATGATCAATAGTGATTTAAACAGACTATGAATTTCGTTGTTGATTTTCACTATGTCAAGTAATTTTAAAATTCTGAAATAAGTGCATTTGTACTTGTAATAATCGGTTACACTGTCATAACCCCTTTCCCCGGTTAATTATAAATTATTTTTTTTAAACCGCTGTTACAGATCAACTGGTTCTTAAATGGATGATGTAGACAACATTATACCAACAGCTTTTCCCACCTAGAACACTTCCCTATTCCAATTTTGAAGCTAAGTAATTAAAAAAATTTTTTTCCCTTCTTTTTAACATGAAAGCCAGGGTTATAGGCCAAGATTGTTAGCCACTTAACATCTTCGTCTCTATCTGAATGTATGTTAGTTACGTGTTCGTAACAGGATGCTGCAAAACCAACCCTTACATTTTAGGGCAGTTTGTGATTTCTCTAGGAAATTTTATGTTCAGCAGTTGGCTGTTGCTTTCTCACCTAAAGCAATCTTGAAACCACAGTTAAAACCAACACAAGGGTGGTCTGCGTCTGCTGCTAAATGGTCCACAGCTGGAATTAAACCCAGCGGCACCAAATTACAGTGAGTGTTTGCAATGTCTAATCCACAAACGCTGGATGTGTGGTAAGTTAAAAAAAAAAAAAAAAAAAAAAAAAAATAAGGATTCCTTTTATGTCCTTGGCAGAGCAGGATTATGTTGTCGCATTATTTTTAATAGAGCAGCTGATGCTTACCGGAGCTTCGGAGTTTATGCTCAGTGCGGCAAAAAAAAAAACATGGCACTATGTGGGCTCAAACCTAAAATCTTCAGGCCAGCAAGCAAGGGTCTAGCCACTATGTTACTGCAGACCCCAAATGTAAGGTACTGGATAAATAATATAATGCTTACATCGACAAGAGACTCCTTGATGTAGGCATAACCTGCAAGCTTGATGTCAATCATGCCCACATGGTCCATGACTGCAATGGGCGCCATCAGCTGAGGAACAGTTCAAATACTGGCATTAGCACAACATACACATTAGATTACTGTTTCCACACACATTTTTTTAGACATTCATTAACTGTTGCCTGCCCCGAATAGAGGGAATTAAATGGTATGATTGGATAACTAATGTAGAGCTTTACAAGCTCCAGTGGACCAAGAGGTGAGGAAAAGACACTGGTGTTGGATAGGACACACATTGAAAAAACCGGAGAACAGCATAACTAGAATGTCTTTGCACTAGAACCCACAGGGGCAAATGAATAAAGGAAGGCCAAAAAAAACTCATGGAGAAGAGAGCTGGAGAATGAAGTTAGAAAGATGGGGAGGACATGGGGAAAGCTCCATGCAATGGCAAAGGATAGAACAACTTGGCGTGAGTTGGTTGAGGGTCTATGCTCCATTGGGGGATAGAAAGGCAGAAGAAGAAGAACAGGGGGTGCATGCAATTTGACTGTTAAAAGGGAGTGCAATTCAAAAATAGACTTGTCTAAGAGTTTAAGACAGCAGGGCACATAAAAATTTTAGAAAGACTTAGGTGGGGCATAGTGCACACACAAAAAATTTGGGAAACACTGCATTTGATGGTCTTTGTGGCAAAGTTGTCAAGCTGTTTGCCTCAACAGTCTGCGCACAAATAAGCCAGATCTGTAAACAAATGTGCACATAAAACTCAAGTTATTGAACGAGACCACGATCTAGAAGTGACAAACAACCAAAACTTTCTAGCAGAGTTTAATACAGTCGGTGAATGCGAAGAAGAAGAAAAAGAAAAAGAAGAAGAAGAAGAAGAAGAAAAAGAAAAACAAGAAGAAGAAGAAATACATTTTTACGTCATAGGCATCTTTAATATCCTGGCTTCACCTTCATACTATCAACCCCTCCCCTCTGTTCCAGAAGCCATGATTTCCATTATAGTTCTTTCTTTATCACCACAGTGCTAAACATGGTGGACTTCTGTTTACTACAGCAATAAAAGTATACTGTTGCGTGACGCTGTGGATTTCTTCGGAATGCCTTTTGACTGTTCCCAGCTCGGTTTATGTTGCCAACTGCAGATTCAGAACATGGCGAATGGCCTGTTGCTAGAGAACTGGTGGTACCTGATGCAATTAATTGCATGTGCAACTACTCATCTGTTGTAACTGCTGCTTCCATTGATGCAGAACTGAATTTCTTATGTCAGACTGTTTGTGTTGGCGCTTCTGATGGCAGCCTTATGCAATTAATGTGTGTATGATGCTGGCTTTCCTAAGTCTGCAGTCTGTGTCAATTTTTTTTCACAAAAGACAGTGATGGATATTCTGGGTGGTTTTCGTTGGCACAGGAATGGGACAAATATTGGATGACCTTTCTGTTGGCACAGGAATGGGACAAATATTGGATGACCTTTCTGTTGGCACAGGAATGGGACAAATATTGGATGACCTTTCTGTTGGCACAGGAATGGGACAACTATTGGATGACCTTTCTGTTGGCACAGGAATGGGACAACTATCGGATGACCTTTCTATTGGCACAGGAATGGGACAACTATTGGGTGACCTTTTCGTTGGCACAGGAATGGGACAACTATTGGATGACCTTTCTGTTGGCACAGGAATGGGACAACTATTGGATGACCTTTCTGTTGGCACAGGAATGGGACAACTATTGGGTGACCTTTTCGTTGGCATAGAAATGGGACAACTATTTGATGACCTTTCTGTTGGCACAGGAATGGGACAACTATTGGGTGATCGCTTTGCTATGACGCTGGAACTGCAATGACCTGATGTAGATTACAGAAATATGAAGAAAAAAAATATACAAATAATAAGATAATGAGGGCAGACTTTAAAAAAATGGATATTACAAATACATTTCCCCCCCTGGACCTGCTGCATCAATGAATGAGGGAATAACAATGAACAGTTAGTGAATTGCATTTTTTTTACAGGATGTTGCAGAACCAACCCCAGCATTTTTTGGCTGTTGTTTTTCTAGACAAATTTTATGTTCAGTAGTTAGTTTGCCACTGCTCCCTGAACAGTCAGCTCTCTGTACCACTGTCGAAACTGACACAGGACAAACTGTCTGCAGCTGGGACCGAACTCGGCACTCCAGGATTACGAAGTGCATTCGCAACGCATAGCCACCTACGCTGACAATAAATAACAAACTGGGAAATAAACTAGATAGTGTGGAACGATGTTTATCTTTCCTCTGGGGGACTGCAAGAAATTGTGTCATCAGTGGGAAAAACAAACACAAATTGTTACCTTGGCAATTGTGCGAATCCACTCACTGCTGTCATCTTTGTTCTCAGAAGAAAATGTAAAGATGCGATTGTCTTCTAACTTAGTGCTCAACTCAAAAGAGTAATTAAGCCTGAGGAAATAATAAAATATCAATGAGCACAACCACGTAATGAATCATTAATAGCATCTTCTTCTGCCTTTCAGATCCCCCTCAACCTATATTAGCAGCCAACTCAGATCAAGCCTTCCTTTCCTTTGCTGCCAAAAGGAGATGACTTTTGCCCTCTAGATCCCCTGAAGCCCAGGTCCTAAACAAGCTTAGATCAAGACATCTTTTCTCTGGTGCCTTCAAGAGATCAGCTTCTTTTTCTGTCTTGCAGACCCCCTGAAGCACATATCCCCAACTAACTGATATTAACTCCTTAGGCCACAAGAGATACATAAGGTGTCATGGCTACTCTACAGGTCACTTAATTGTCTATTCAACACCTTCAAAAGCAAATCACCCCTGATTTTCATAGAAACCACCTCCTTCTCTTAGGATCTCCTAATAAACCTTCTATTACTGAAAGAGCTAAAAAGCTATCCTTCTTCTGCCTTCCAGATCCCCCTGGAACAGATATCCCCAACTAAACTATATTGAGAACTATTCATTTCTTTGGTATTTACATAAGATCTTCATAAATCAGACTGTTTAAAGGACATCGTTTCCATCACAGATCGCTGGAAAGATTCTCTGTTCTATCAGTTCCACATCTCCAGTATTTTCATGCCTGGCTCCACCATTGTGCTGGCTGACACCTGCCTCTACTTCCAGAAACTGCGCCTTCTATTATGATTCTTTCTAAACTTGAGACAAAATGCTGTTTATGAGCCAGTTTTCTTTGCTGTATATAACTAATGGAATTAAGGATCCAATTAGGCGCTAGCAGAAAGTAAAAAAAAAAAAAAAAGCACTATACACAAAAAGATAAACAATTTAATCTTTAAAAAGAAAGGAAAAAAAAATATTCTTCTGTATTTGCGTTGATAAGGATGTCTGGTACTATGTGTCATTGTTTACATCTATGCTACGATGTCTGGGCTTTTCAGTCTAACACCTTTGATTGAACCAAAACCCCAATTAGTTGACTTTTTCACTATGCATGCTAGGAAACTGGGGATGTATTCTTTTCATCTTCAAAGGTGCCCCAGAAACCACATTGGGAACTAAAAGATTAAAAAAGTCTAGAAAGGTTAAAGAAATAACATAAACATAACATAACCCTTGACCCGTTAGGGTCGAGGAGGTGTATTGATGGAAGGACTAGCACATAAAACCAGCCATCTTTCTCTGTCTTCCACTCGACAAATAAGTGTATGATAACTTAGTCCTGTCCATTCCTTGATGTTGTCATTCCAGTTTCTACTTTGCCCTCCTCTTATCCGACTACCTTCCAATGTTCCTGAAAGTACAGTTTTTGCAACTGAATCATGTCTCACCACTTGCCCAAACCTAGCTAGCCTGCGACGTTTCACCCCTGCTAAGAAAGCCTCCTGATGTCCTGCAAATTTGTATATTTTTGTCTCTGACATATTTGTTAGTTATGTGTTCTAAATAACTAATTTGTAAAATGCGCCTAAAGAAATAATATATACAGCTGACAAAATTAGAAACAGAAATCAAAATTACTGATTAATGATTAGAAATCAATGTCATAATAGATCTAGCACCCCCAAAGACACTCAATTTCCCACAGAAAATGTCTTCATTTGCAGATGCTGACTGATTTAGTAGCATATGTCATAATCCCAGCCTCAACATCCTTTCTTGCCAGATCCACACATAACTTTACATTTAGACGACAACCATTCACATTTTGTTTTAACTAACAGTGTATCTTCCACCAGAAGGAGACAGTCATCATTTTTTGGAAATGTTATGAGAAGAGGAAAAATATAACATGTTGTGATCACTGGAAAGATCTGTGGAAGAAGGGATAGAGGAAGACAACGAGAGAAGATTCTTGACAGTCTTGTTGCATGGCATGGAGGTGTGTCGGCACACAAACTGATACATGCTGCAGGAGTTTGTGGATTATGGAGAGGCAGTCGGCAAGGCACCTGAGGATGATGATGATCTTCCATAAGCTTTCATTCAAATGGTCCAATGATCTTTTTCCACACCCTCAGGCGTACTGGGTGTAGACCTAGATTTTAAAGACCAATCGGCATACAGTGGGTGATGTGGTCAACATCACCCCAGCTGCCTTTACTTCCCAGGACTTTACCTGATATCCATTTAAGGCTGGGTCAAACTGGGAGCCCAGGTAATTTTTTGAAAAACAAAAACAAAAACCTGGCTCCATTCAGATTTTAACCCATGACCCTCAGATCTGTCTGGGTGCTAGACTACCGACTCCCTTACTCAAATGAAGAAACAAGGACCAGAGCTATTATCAAACTGAAGCCCCCAATAAACTAATTAAACAAGAAATAGAGAAGAAGTCGGACTAATCTTCATTAATAAACACACATACCTTTCAGTGTCCACTGCCTGGATCATATACATGTCCTTTCTGTCTATGGACCCTTTGGAAGTATTACTCTGAAATAAGTAAAGTAGTAAAGTAAAAATAACTTCCTGTGAAACGTGCCACCTCCATAAGGTCACTAACAAAACAAGAAGGGTAGGGTTACAAATACCAGCATTAGAGATAAAGCTGGAAAAAGGCCATAACTGAATTATATTGACAGACTAAGAATCAAATGGTTCGGCCATCTAGTGAGATTGCAGCCAAACCAAACTGCATATTTGATGTTTTTTTAAAAACAAAAGAACATCTGGGAGGAAGGTGATGAGATGAACAAGAAAGAGATAAATGGTGTAACTGAGATCTGAAAAAAAAAAGACGAACAAATTCATCACCCAAGCCGCTCGAGAAGAGCAAGAGAAATAAAAAAAACCCACTAAACTGGACTACAATCTGGTATCAGTGAGACGACAAAACCACGACACTAGACTACAACCTGGTATCAGTGAGATGACACTGAGCTACAACCTGGTATCAGTGAGATGACACTGGGCTACAACCTAGTATCAGTGAGATGACACTGAGCTACAACCTGGTATCAGTGAGATGACACTGGGCTACAACCTGGTATCAGTGAGATGACACTGGGCTACAACCTAGTATCAGTGAGATGACACTGGGCTACAACCTAGTATCAGTGAGATGACACTGGGCTACAACCCGGTATCAGTGAGATGACACTGGACTACAACCTGGTATCAGTGAGTTGACACTGGGCTACAACCTGGTATCAGTGAGATGACACTGGGCTACAACCTGGTATCAGTGAGACGACACTGGACTACAACCTGGTATCAGCATACACTGGGCCACAACCTGGTATTAGTGAGATGACACTGGGCTACAACCTGGTATCAGCATAATGACACTTGACTACAACCCGGTATCAGTGAGGCGACACTGGGCTACAACCTGGTATCAATGAAATGACACTTGGCTACAACCTGGTATCAGTGAGATGATACTGTGCTACAACCTGGTATCAGTGAGATGAAAAATGAATATTTCTTATTTCATGCAAGATGGGGAAAAAATCCGGCAAATAATTTATTCTTGAATTTTATTAGGCTTCTGATTATTTCAGAGTTAAAAAAAAAACAATAACCTGTAACATAAGAAAACAGAACAAACCTTTTCATTTATGTAGTAAGTTAAAGCTCCATGTTCAAGAATACACCATCTCCTTTTAAAAGCTGAAATATAGACAATATACTGAACTTAGCAAAGTGGTTATCTCATGTGTAATTCTCATTCAATCATCATCATCAAGTGCCTTGCTGTATGGCATGGGCGTTAATGCCTCCCCACAACCTGTGAACTTCAACGGCATGTATTAGTTCATTTGATGACATCCCTTCAAGCCATGACAAAAGGCTGTGAACAAATCTTCTTGTGTTGTCTTCCACAGATCCTTTCATAGGTCACAACATGTTCCAGTTAGCCTCTTCTCATAACATGACCAAAACAAGAGGACTGTCTCCTACTGATGTTTGTGATAAGTTGTCTTCGAGCAATCACCTCTTTTAAAAATATCTGGGTTGCTCGTTTTTGGTTCTCCAAGGAATTCTACGAGGGGAAGTCATTAAGTAAAGGCAACCGTATCCTAGTCTGCATAAACAGTTTGCAGAAGAAAAAAAAATTATTATTTCAGGACAAGAATAGCCCCTTTGCAATACCCAAAGTATGTATTGTGATGATTTAGGAGTGTGCGCATGCGCAACAGCTTGTAGAAGATGGCTGCAGCACTGTTAACATGCACCATGGAAGAGCAGCAAGGTTTTATTCGTTTTTTTTTTTTTTAACAGGTAGAGGGTGTAAAAACTGTCTGAAATCTATTAAAGAAAAAAGGTTTTAATACAGAGACGGTCGTCTGTGTCAGAGGAAAGTGTATGGATGGGTGGAAAGATTTAAAAATGGAAGGGATAACATCAGTGATGAAAAGCGGGGTGGGAGACCCGTTAGTGTGGCTACTCTCGACAGTAAAACAGCAGAGAAAAAATCTGCGATAACAGACGAGTTACTACTGATGAAATTGCTGTAGAATTCTACATGAGTCATGGCCATGATGTCAAACTGTTCAGTATCTGTTCTCTCAGGCTCCCTCTGCCTCTCCTCCCCTTCAACTTTCCTACCGTCACAATGTACTCCAGTTTTCTCCTTCTCATCACATGACCAAAGAATGTAGATTGTGTTTTTCTGATGTGGGCAATCAATTCTCTTTGTGAGCCAGTTTCTTTCAAGACGTCTCTATTCCTCTTTTTATCTGTCCAGGGTATTCTCACTATTCGTCTATAAAACCACATCTCTGCAGCTTTCAAATAAGTTTTCACTTATTTACAAACTGTCCATGATTCACACCCGTATATCAACATAGGATTTATATAGCTCGTCTTAATTGACAAAGAAAGTTTGCATAAAATATTCTTCATTTTGTAAAATGCTGCCTTTGCTTGAGTGATGCTTACAAAATTGTTAATGATGACTGAGGGTATAAGAAAGTTTGTAGCAGACGGGTTCCAACCAAAGCAGCTGTTTGATAATCAGAAGCAGACTAGGCAGACAATTTGTTAGGAGCATTTGGATCATTACTAAAGTGCTTGTTACAGTGTGAAGTGTTAGCGAACAAGTTGAAGCCTGTGATCTAATCGAAATGCCAGGCTTCTCTCAAAAGGAGTTTTGTTGCTGCATGATGACGTCTGCCCCACACGCTGCATATACAGTGGATAATCTGCAGTTTGAAGTATTGAAACATCCAGCCCAGACTTAGCACCATTGGACTTTTATTTGTTTGGTGCATGTCATATTTCAAAGACAGTAGCGGGTGCATTGGTGCCAACCTTCAAAGGGGAGATAAAATGTGGTCAGGATACAAATCATACAAAAAGGAACAATAAAAGAAAGGAACAAGAAGAAATTAAATTAAACTCCCCAGATAAAGGTATGCTGAAAATTAATCCCCGAATGGCTGAGAAAACCCTGAATACAATGTTTTCTAAAGAGACGTGGTATTTCTGATCCCTGGAGCAAGATTTTATGGCAGTAACAGAGATGTCCAAACTACTGGACGTAAATTTGCCTAGAAAAACCACACAACAGCCAGGCACAACAGCCAGGGGCTGTTGGGGTTGGTTCTGCAACATCCTGTAAAGGATACGCAACTAACCTAACAGAGATGTCGATTTTGCCTTGATTGCAAGATATACTGAAATTTGAAATGGAAAGAGTAGGATTTAATAGCTGCACTCTTAACATCCATGAGATGTCCATGGAAATGACCTGCTAATTTCCTACCAGATTTTCCACTATAATGCCAAAGTAATGTTCCTGACAGAACTGACAACAGACCGTGCAGCCACAGCAGACGGTAAACTATATTAACTCCCAGGGGGTTTAGCATCACAGGCCCAGGAGGTAGTAAAGAAAGTCATAAAATCTGTGCATCTTGCGTTCATTGGGCATCTAGGTAGGAACCTATGAACATATAATGCGTTCCTTGGGACTCAAAGAGTTAAATACAGCCTTATATATACTATCTTACTTTTTCCAATAGGCCCTGTTTTGTTCAAAAATCCTTGCAGCCTGATGTCCTCTTTCAGTCGGTTCTGTGGGAGAACGAGAGAGAAGTTTACGACTGATTGAAGCTGGCTAGGAATAATATATTTAAATTACCAGCATTGTTGAACACTGATAATAACAACATTTCTTTGACTTATATTTCAGAAGAATCATCGAGCATAAAAAGAAAGAATGACATCAATAATTAACACATATGCTGATAGCCGTGCTGTTAGAATGCCAATAACAAAATTCATTTGAAATCCTTGGAAAGCATTGGTTGATATGACTAGCATGAGGCTAGGGAAAAGATGGATTCATGGTGAAGCTGCCAAAGAAATAGGTCATGCAGGAGTGCTCAAATTCTAGAAGAATAACATTGGGATACATTTCTGAGAATCCCTGTCTGGGTTTCGGGGCCCTATTGTGGGGGAAAAAAAGAACAGACCCACTGTCTACCCACAAGCATGTCCTAAGAGTCGACTATATGGGAGCTTCCTTCGAAGTCGGAGTGCATCTGCCTGAGAGGTAAGGAACCAGCAGCCTGCATACAAATAAGTCAGATCTGTAAAACGGATGCACACGCAACACTCAGGTTCTGAAACATGACTGCAGTCCAGAAGTGGATGAACAACCAGAACTTTCCGCAAGAGCTAACAGCTGGTGAACACGAAGAAGAAAAAGAAGATTTCTGAGAAAAAAAGAATAAAACATGATCCTTATGTGGACATTAAGAGATACTGCTGACAAACAAGCAAGAGGTGAACAGGCAGGCGTCTGGAACAAAAAGATTCCAAACTGGTCAGAGAGGTATCTTACACACAACAGAAAAAGCACTCAAACAAACTCAAAAATTTATATAAGTCTTCTTCTTCTTCTTGTTCACCGGCTGTGAATTCCGGCGGTAAGTCGCGGTTGTTCGTCCAAAATGGACTTTTGGCTTTTACCTTGACCTCACTACATCAAGAACCAGCTTAGAACATCTAACTTTCTTCTTCTTCTTCTCTTCTATCACTTACCTCAGTGAGGTGTTGGGGGAGAATATCTAATATTAATATTCAAAACAAAATACTGCTGTACAGATAAAATACAAGGAGAAAGACTAAAACAGGTAGAAATAAACTGCAAACATTCATTAATTGGTGCTTGTTCAAAACAGATTTGGCAAAATGAGTGCTTAAACTTCATTGGGATATAAAAGGAGAAGAAAAACAATTCCTACCTCATCTCTGACATCCTGCTCCAAGGTTTTAGCTGAAATTTAAGAAGTCACTGGAGATTAACTGACATTTAGGAAGTAATTGGAGATTAACTGAAATTTAAGAAGGCACTGGAGATTAACTATCAATTACAAATATTATTAGATAAACCAATACAAAACACATGATGATATAAACATAACAAATTTAGACAGGAACCTGAGACGAAAAAATAAATTAAAAAAAGTGACATAATAATACATAAAATTAAATAAAAAATAAAAAAAATAAAAAGATTAAAAAAATTAACTGTCACATCCTGGGCAAAAAACAGTATCCTCTTTCTCCTCCTTCAGTTACGTCAGTGAAAGTTTGGTGAAAGCTACTATAAGGATCTTCTGTGTGATCCTTCTAATGTGCTGCAAAATATCCACATTGATGTAAAATAAGATACACAATCTTTGTAAAGAACTACAACAAAATATGGCTGGTTTGCTGAAAATTCTCTGGCAGACTGAGTTTTAACTGCTAAGACTGATGCAATGATAAGCCCTGAAAAACAAGAAGGCAGACAGAGGATGTTGGAGTCCATTTTGGCATGACAGGCTGGGAAACTGTCACAGAGTGTTAATAAAAACCATCCCAGTATAGGACGACTTATTTGTTATTTTAAAGCCCCACCCTGGCTATCATCAGGGGCTCTAATAAAACTTAACGGCTGAACAGGATTTATGGGACTTATACCTGGGGGATTCTCATCTGAATGTGGCACTTTGTGTCACCAGGTGTTAATGGCTCCTTGGGTGGTCATGGTGGCCTTAAACGTCTCTCACGCTCTTACACGATGGACAAATTTTGAACATCATTTGCAAAATATGCGCCTAAAAGCCACCATCCTAATAAACAAACAGTAAAAGTCTTACTTACCACATGTTATCATGATCAGTATGGAAACACAGAATAGTAATACTGTAAATTACCATGCATGTCATAAGAGGTGACTATAGAGGGTTGACGAAGGCGGGTCACCTTATTCCCTAGAAAGCTTTAGTTGCAACTTTTCAACTAATCATAAACATGAATACAGGTCATTTGGCATAATCTGGCAGACAATATTATACTTTTTTGGGAAGAAGAAGAAGAAAAAGAAGAAGAAAAAAAGAAGAAGAAGAAGAAGAGATCCCCTCTGCTCACCTCCAAAAAAAATTACTAAAAAGTATTTTTTAAAATTCACTTGTATTAATAGTGAAATTAGGATAGTTTAAAAAAAGGGAGAAAAGCATAATGCACAGGGTAAAATTTGGCATAGATAACTTTTTAAAAATTCAGATCTCAGCCATGACTCTGCTGAAACAGCTTTTTATGCTCAAGATTAATATAAAATTGACTCATAAGTTAGCATTTTGTATAAATCATGACACAAATTTTAGCATTTAATTAACATCTACATCAGGAGAGCACTTATACTTACGATCACCTCCATTCTGATACAAAAGTTCCTGTTTCAATAAAAGAAGAAACCAATTAATAAAAAAAAAATTCTCTTGGTATTTATATCTTATTTCTTATGTGATTCACTTATACTTACATTTATTTAGAAATGTAGACTAAGTCAATTGCTAATAAACTACAGACATTCATTAACTGGTGCCTGCCAAGAATAGAGGGAATTAAATGGTATGATAGAATCACTAATGTAGAGCTTTGGGAGAGAACTAAGCAAGCTCAGTGGACCAAGAGGTAAAGAAAAGATGCTGGCGTTGGATAGGACACACGTTGAGAAAACCAGAGAACAATATAACTAGAATGTCTTTGCACTGGAACCCACAGGGGTACAGGAATAAAGGAAGGCCAAAAAGAATGAAGTTAGAAAGACAGGGAGGACATGGGGAGAGCTGCATGCGATAGCAAAGGATAGAATGACCAGGTGTGAGTTGGTCGAGGGACTATGCTCCTATGCTTCATTGGGGGCTAGAAAGGCAGAATAAGTAGACTTTCTGCTCATTTTGTAGCTTAGCAGTTACATTATCAACTTCAGGTTCATATCGATCTAGTCCAATTTCCGGTGAAGACTAGATTAAGACTACAGTTTATTGATAGACTTTAAAATCCCAGTTCTTACCATCAGAACTATTTTTTGGCTAACACTATGCCATCACTGTCAAACGTGGACACTTACATCCCCCAATGAACGTAAAGTGACAACAGAGATGAAATGCCTTAGAAGAGCTGCAGGAGTTTTAAGGAAAAACAGGATACGAAACCGGATGAATGCTAGGAATAAAGCCAGTCTTACAAGTCATCAAAGAACAACAAATGAAGTGGTTTAGACACATAACAAGAATGATCTGGTACTATCTGCCACAGCTAGCCACACTGAAATGTTACAATGGGTATAGAGCGAGCGTAAGACTTCAAAAAAGTTGGAGTGATGACATTAAGAACAGCCTTACAGAAATGAACATCTCATCAATGAATGTAATATCTTTCCCTGACACTTCACTGAGGTACAAGGTGGAAGAGAAAAAGAAGAAGAAAAAGAAGAAGAAGAAGAAAAAGAAGCGTGCTTACCATAATTAGTCTCTGTCCATTCTCTTTAGCAATATCATACGCTGGAAAAAATAAACATAAATGAATACATATAGTTATAGAAGACTAGCACTTGAGACATATAACTGCAAGTAATGAGTCTGATTTAAATGGTATGATAGAATCACTAATGTTGAACACTAGACAGGTAGCCCAAAAAAAAAAAAAGAATAGTAAACCAATACAGAACTAGTGCTATCAGTCACTACACACTGGGTGATGTACTAAAGATGGGATCTCAGAGCTTATGGCCTTGTCTAATATGCAGTGAGGATAATTTGTCAATTAACTAGCTGACTGACTGACTGACTGACTGGCTGGCTGACTGGCTGACTGACTAGCTAACTAACTAACTAACTGACTGACTGACTGACTGACTGACTGACTGACTGACTGACTGACTGACTGACTGACTGACTGACTGACTGACTGACTGACTGACTGACTGACTAACTAACTAACTAACTAACTAACTAACTAACTAACTAACTGACTGACCGACTAATCAAATTTCAGTGAATAAAAAGGTATGGAAAAGATGCTGGCATTGACACACACTGAGAAAACCTGAGAATTATATGCATAGAATGGTTTTAAATTTTAAAGACAGACTACACCAACAACACACACAAAAACAGACTACACCAACAACACACACAAAGACAGACTACACCAACAACACACACAAAGACAGACTACACCAACAACACACACAAAGACAGACTACACCAACAACACACACAAAGACAGACTACACCAACAACACACACAAAGACAGACTACACCAACAACACACACAAAGACAGACTACACCAACAACACACACAAAAACAGACTACACCAACAACACACACAAAAACAGACTACACCAACAACACACACACAAACAGACTACACCAACAACACACACAAAAACAGACTACACCAACAACACACACAAAGACAGACTACACCAACAACACACACAAAAACAGACTACACCAACAACACACACAAAAACAGACTACACCAACAACACACACAAAGACAGACTACACCAACAACACACACAAAAACAGACTACACCAACAACACACACAAAGACAGACTACACCAACAACACACACAAAAACAGACTACACCAACAACACACACACAAACAGACTACACCAACAACACACACAAAGACAGACTACACCAACAACACACACAAAAACAGACTACACCAACAACACACACAAAAACAGACTACACCAACAACACACACAAAAACAGACTACACCAACAACACACACAAAAACAGACTACACCAACAACACACACACAAAGACAGACTACACCAACAACACACACAAAGACAGACTACACCAACAACACACACAAAAACAAAACAACAACAACAAAAGAAGGGAACTAGAGAGCGAAAGTAAAAAAATGGGGAAGACACAGGGCTGCATGCGCAGAAAAAGATAGGATCACTTGGCATGAGTTGGTTGAGGGCCTATGCTCCATTGGAGGGATAGAAGGCAGAAGAAGAAGAATACTGGTGATGCAACTGTCTTCTTTCGCTTCTCATCCCCCACTCGAGAACAGTCCCTGAACCGACCTACAACTATGACATTTGCAGAAAGAGTAAAAAGGGTAAAGGTCACTTTACAGGCCAGTAGTACATCAGGCTTTTGATGCTAATCTCATTTTTTTAATACACTTGTTAGTCCTCGATGGATGATGTTGTCAACATCAAGCCGGCCACTTACACTTCCCTGGTACCTATTTAAGGCTGGGCTGACCTGTGAGTCAAGGTCATGTTTAGAAAAAAAAAAAAAAAAAAAAAAAATAAAAACAAAGTTCTGAGCGAATCTGAACTCACCACCTTCAGATCCGCAGGCAAGCATCTAGCCGCTACACCACGGTGGCTCCTAAGCCTTGTGTAGACTTGTTCATAATTAATTGGATTTTGCAGCTGAAATTTTCTACTGGATCTGGTCTTTTGTCAACACTCAGTGGTGATGTGGACAACATCATGTCGGCTGCCTTTACTTCCCAGGACTTTACCTGATACACATTTTAGCCTGGGTCGACATGGGAGCAGAGGTAATTTTGTAGAAAAAATCGGACTTTCTGCAGATCTTATTGCGACGCGGGAGCAATAGGCCAGGCCGAGATAGAAAGTCTGGCTCAGTCATTATGGCGGTGGTGTATTTATGGTTAGTTTCGCTTAGATATAAATGTTCTCTAGTACAGTAGTTAAGCTGTAGACCTAGATTTATGTCATGCTTTCTAGTTTGGAGATAGGTTGATTGCTCGTCACCATAAAAGATTTACAGATCTCGTGGTATGTTGAAGTTTAACATGCATGTTAATATGTTTGGACTTTTGCCATCACTGAAGCACTTTTTCTGAACGTATGTATTCATTATCCTATTTCCTTTGTAGCTGGACATGATTAGCAATTTAGATTCTAATCGACAAAACGACAAGTTTATCTTTAACCTCTTTTAAAGTCACACATTTGTGATTTTTAATAGCAGTTATCTACCTATTGATTACCTGCTGCAAAATCTGGGCATCTTACCTGTTTGTCCAGTCTCATCTCTTCTAAACAAAACCTGGTGAATAAGAAGAAATCATTTTATGTAAAACGTATTAAGAAAATATTAACTTGTTTTAATTTGTTTTAAATGTCAGTCTAAAATCAACTTTATCTCTTGCTAATAAAACAATGCTGAGGAGCAGCCGGCCTAACAGTTAAGAATGCAGGGGAGTCGGGTTTTAAGCCTTGGTAAGGTTGGGAATTTTTTTTCTGTCACAGTCAACAACAACAACTCCTAACCTGACCAGTCCATGCTGTCAGCACTAGCCATGCAGCCTTAAATCCTGAAAGCCCCCCCCCCCCCCCCCTCCGGCACCACAAAAGTGGGAGAGACACACAGTAATGATGTTTACAGAACAATTTTTTTTTACGCCTCCTGTATGGATTCTGAGGGCTTTTTTTTAAAAGGGGGTATGTCCACTGCCTTCTTACAAGCATGTCACAAAAGGTGACTGCTCTAAAGGTTTGCTCAAACCAAATATGTTATAATCTAAGGAGCACAAATCACAGTCTATCTGTAAACCATAACATATGTGTCAACCTTTTGCTTTATAAAGGCAAATGTAAAAGAAGATTTCTGAAACAGATGTTATTTGATGCTATGAATACACATCAATGATTCATCCTCGATAACAGTCCTATTCAGAATGTTTTCTGCGTTTGCTGTTCTTGAATGTGCTACAGGGTAGAAATACATCCAGTAGGAGAATGGAGGTAGAGGCAGTACTGGCAGCTTTCTGATGTCTTGAGAGCAGCCGAACCCTACATGTTGTAATTGTAACGGACTCACAAAGCATGCTTCGGAAAATTGAAATTGGCATCCTGCGTGCATAGTGGCTTGCATCACTTGATAAGATCCAGATTAGGAGCATATTGTGGATTTTCTGTCAAGCTGGCTGATAGATTAGCTACTGCCATTCCTCTGGGTGATGAGCTACTTTATGAAAAAGTGGACGTGGTGAAGGTGCTATGGAATCAAATGGACAGTGCAAATGAACAGATAGAGAATCCATACACTGAAAGATTAATTCAGCGGGGGCATTCAGAGGTTCTAGAAGATATTCAACATTGAGGGGGAAACATAGGCGGACTTTTAATCAGGTTGCAACTGGTACTGTTAGCATGATGACTCTTTGCTGGCTACTGAAGAAGGGGAAGGAGCACATGTGGGAATATCCAGAGTGCAGTGATGTTAATTCTTGATTCATGCATTCATTCGTTCTTCAGGGCAGCCTGAGAAACCCTGTGGTACATCTCCATGCAGAAGAAGACAAGAAAGACAGAAGCTCATCCACATTATTTATAGTCTTATTGCAGCAAGGAAGGGCATGTAATATCCCTTGGTCATCCACTGCAACTAGGTCCATTTCCAATCGTCTCCACATTATCCTGCCACTGCATTCAGATGGACACAGGTGAGAAAGTGAGGTTGACGAATTGTGCAACTCCTCCTCACTTTAATCCAGGTCCTTATGCAAACTACTTTTCCAGGCTCATAATTGGACTAAGTCAACTTCGTACTCATAATCACTGATCGTATTACTACTTTGGATGAAAAGTGGTCTTCATCACTCGTAATGGACGTACAACAACAGTCTTACTGCAGTACTTACCTCAACTCCTGAAAAGAGAATTCTTATCAATTCCAATACATTATCATTGCTTGCAGCAGCCAACAGTGCCTGGAAATAAAAATACAATAAATGTTAAACAGAACAGAAACATTCAATAACTGATACTGGTTCAGAATAAAGCTAAAGTCAGCTGGACTTACTTTAAAGGATGGTGAAACCTCGCCCACCACCGGTCAGATTCTCTGGCTTAGGTTTTGTAAATGTGCTTCACATAAAAAAAAAAAAAAAGTTAACTTCCAGCTCTCTCTCACTCTCTCTCTCTCTTTCAGTACCGACCATTTCACTGTGTCCTTAGTGATCTTTCTATAGATGCAATTCATTTCGTAGTTTTTCAGACTCATACATCTGTTACATTATTTTACTTTATTCAGTTTGTACTTTATCAGATATACTATTTCAGCAAATATCTATAATTCATGCTTTTCAAAGTAGTCATTAATTTAAAAAGAATAGCTTTTACTGGTTGTAAAGTAAATGACATAATAGCTATAGTTAGTGCTACTGCAATAGACACTCTGGCTATAGCAGACCAAAAGAGTTTATAAAACAGTAAGGACACAATGGAATAATTAACAACTAAATAAGGTCCCTGAGGATATAATATTAATTAATAAAGAAAATAGAAGAATAGACTGCAAGCCCTATGCAAAGTATAAGCTGCCAATTACTCCCTTTATTTTACCACTTTTGTGGTGTAGGTGGGGGGGGGGGGGGGGGGGGATTCTTAAAGCCTGAGGATTTACGGCCTCAATGGCTAGTGCTGTCACCACAATTGTGCAGGTAAAGATTTTATTTTGCCCCTGACAGAAAAAAAATTCCCCGGCCTTACCGAGGATTCCAACCTGGGTCTCCCACTTGACAACCCAGCGATCTAACCGTTCACCCAGCCGCTCTTCTTTGCGAAGTAAAATGGCATAAAAGGATAATAATGAAGATGTTAACACTGGTTAAATAAATGATAATAAAAATAATAATTACAAAATAAAATTACTTACTTCTCCAAGTACTGCTGGTCCACAGTTTGCCAAAGGGTGTAGGTTGCAGAATTGTTTGTTCTTGTATTTTTTCACAATGTACTCTTTTCTCTTGTCCATGGTGTCTGTAGGCAGGATTCTGGCACCTTGGGGAACATCAAACTCCCAGAATGCATTGGAATTGGCATTTCCTATTGTGATCATGATCTGAATAGTTTGGGAGAAATCAACTGTTTACAAGAAAGAACGAAAGCTACACACATTTAACAACAAATGCTTGAGGAAACCAAGAAAGCTAAATGGAAAGCATTCAAGAAAAGCAAAAACAAAAAGGAAAGTCTCAATCTAAAAAAACCAGTTGTAGATATTGAGGACTTGAACAACGGACCAACATCACGGCACATGGTTAGTAAAACCATAGTTATCCGTTCTTCTTCTAACTCAAGTCTGAGTCCGAAGAAGTTCAGCACAGTGCATAGGCACTGTAGAACCGGATCCTGAAATACTTTGGGTAGATTTTTAACTCCAAATTTTGCCAAGGGACTTTTTACGTGCGCAACAATGCACACGGGCGTCTGATCTCACTAACCAGAGACCAGGGGGAATTACTAGAAGTCCAAGTCCACGCGAAAAAATCTTAGCCCTTACTGGGAATTGAACCCTGAACCTCTAGCACTCGAAGCGGACACCATGCCTGGAGACCACGCAGCCCCCCCCCCCCCCCCAAGTTATAGATAACAATAGAAGGACAAAGAGGATGGCTATATACTGGGCAGATCTGAGGAAAAGCAGACACAGAAACATAAACTAGGCACCGAATTAGAAAACAATGGATTGATGAAGGAGGATGTTGAAGAGATGTTACAGAAACCTTAATGAGAGGGGCCAAAAGTGCTGGATTGGATTCAATCCACGACAGAATGAAATGGAGGAATAATAGACCGTGACCCTCCAGGGAGAGAGAGAGAGAAGGCTCAGGGGGTACCTGTGCGGGGATGTTCTCCCAGCTCTATGGAGAGTGTCCGCACGGGAGCTACTCCTCGAGGCGGTGAGGCTTAATGAGGTTGGTACCGGCATGAGGCTCACCACATCACCCATCTTGTGCCGATTGGTCTAGAAAAAATATAGATCTAGCCCTATATGCCTTTGGTGTCTAAAGGCATAGAAAAGGGACCTAAGTAAGTAAATGATGATTTTTTATGCATTATAATCAGCAAATTCAACTTGAAAAATTTTATTTCAGGATAATGCATATCACCTTTTTTTCTGAAAAGAATTGCCAGTATATATTTAAAATGACTACAAAAGCTTCATTAAGTGTGTGTGCCTGCCCATAAAAAAACAAAACACAAAAACACAAAAACACACTCAACCACCACCACCTCATAATAAATATGTAACAATTTTTAAAGAGAAATTTTTGCCCTAACCTCAATAAGACTGGGAGTCCACACCCGAGTGTCCATCCTCAGTGATCGAATTTTAGAGATCCTGTAATCAAACATGCGATGTACGCCTGCACAGTTCTTGCACACAACGATTCCCAGGTTGATTGAAGCCCAGTGAGGATCTGACATGGTGAAATTACAATTGAGATTTACATAAATATTTTATTTTTCTCTATTAGTAAAAAGAAAATTAAACATGTAAAAGAAAGAGAACTTGTTCCACTCGCTGAGGATCTAACAAGGTGAAATTATAATTCAGAGTTTTGCACACACAAAAAAAGTTTCTTAAAAAGCCATTAAAAAGTTTTTATAAAAAATAATAATTTATTAACGAATTACGAAGTGAAATGTCGCAGGCTGAAACAATCTGTCCCACTGAAATCAATACAAATCCAATTAACCCGTTTGCACGCCCTAGTAACTTTTTGCATTTGGAATTTTTTTTATTGATTATGTGTGACAAAAATAAAACATTTATAGCATAACTTTCCCCTTTGTGATTAGCACATTTAGATTATAGAGGAGAGGGAGGAAGATCACTCTTTTGAAAAAGAATCCATTCCAGAATAAAGCTGGGCAGCTGTGTAGGCATTTCTGATAATTTTTGTTTGTTTGTATTCTGGGAAGTGGCTCAGTTGCTGGCTCAGTGGTTAACAACATTTTATCTACTTCTTTTAACGTCTACCCACTTGAGACCTTTGATTTGGTAACACAGTCACAGCTTTAGCCACATCCGTCATCTTTAGCATAACTTTGTTCTTTAAGACAGTACAGGTCATTGACTTAGCCAAGTCATATTGCTTGGCGGGTGCTACTGAGGCGGAAGTCCAACGGTCGATTCATGACAATTCTCACCCAGATGATCTGATTATCCATACAGATGGTTCAGTGCTGAGAGGAAAGAGAAGTGCCTGGGGGTTCGTAGCGAAAGCCAATGGAAAATCGTTAGTGCATGACAGCCTCGCATATGATACTACCACGTCTAGCATGAGAATGGAGGTAGAGGTGGTAACTGCAGTTTACCTAATGAAAAATTGTATCAACAACAATGCAGTGATAAACAATGTTCACAGTGTGCACACCTGAGTTCTTAACTGATGCCGTTCCTTAGCTGCAAACATGGCGCAAAATCAATGTTTCGTGTTTGTGCACCAAGGCACTGTTCGCAGGTCGAGTAAAAATTTGTTCGGAATATCTGTAGGCCAATTTGTTCATGACTAGAGGTGATCGTGACCCAAGGCACCACACTATATTTGTAAAGAAAAAGAACTTCTCCAGGTCTTGATATACATCCGGTATATGGTAACAAGTTGTGCAATGGACATACAGGGCTAGACCGATGTGTGATGTAGTCAACAGCAGGTGAGCCACCTTTATTTCCCAAGAGAATTTCTGCACTTGCTTTAGGCTGGATCAATTTAATTAAATATCTATGACCTTCTGGCTGGCTAGCAAGTGCTAGCACCCATTAAAGTTTAAAATTTGAATGGATGGACCTCATTGCAGCCGGTTTAATCTCACATAGCTCGGTTTCTCTTTGAAAATGGCTAGCCATCTGTCGAGAGCATCCCACATAGCATGACCTCTGTAGTTTTGGAGACAATCCCCAGGGATCGCCGTAAAAAACTGCACTCACGAACCGAATGACACGGCCCATGACCTTCAGAGTGTGAGGCAAATGGCTTCTGGATTGATCTAGAAGACCAAAAAACATTATTTTTACAAATCCACCTCGACGGGAATTTGAAAACATTACCTCCTGGCTGGCAGATCTGTGTGCTAACCACTATGATACTGTGCCGTCGTACATTATTCAGCAATGAATAGAAAAAACATAAAGGTTCAAAGATGATAGAGTTTATCTCATACAGCTCAGCCTCTCTCTGCAGATAAACTAGTCACTAAGATTTTGTGCTGTCATACGTCATTCAGCACTGAAGAGGAAAGTAATATAAAGGTTTAAAGAGAAGGATTAATCTCATATGCCTTGGCCTCTTTCTGCAGATAAACTAGCTACTTGCTAAAAGCATCACAAAAAGTATGAACTAGGTAGCTCCAGTAAAGATTTCCAGGGATCTCAGTAAAAAATTGCATTGCTGAACGGAACGACAGTTTGTTTAATGAACCCATGACCTTTAAAAAACAGTGAGACAAACAAAATTTAACCACCCAGAGCAAGGCTATTCACCTGGTGGCCCACGCGTTGAATCCTTCCAGCCAGAGGTGTAGCAAGTAGCCTGCTGATCCCTAAAGATTATATTGTACTAATGATCAATCTATGCTGGAGCCCCTGAATGAACTTACTTGAACAGCCCAGACCTAGAGGAAAGACAAATCTACCCCTAATAACCAATGTTACAAAAGTTAGATGTGTCCAGTTATGGCGCCTGGTACTCCACAGGGGAATATTTATTCCCCTGGCCCACGTGTCTAGGAAGTCTGCTAAGAAGTCATAGGCCTGGCTGCTTCGAGATACCAGCTAAGTGATTTTGTGTATTTGTGTGGTATTATTTGCGTTTTGTTTGTATTTGTTCTATTGTGAAGCTTGCTAATATACTTTTCGTTCAGTTTTATATCTTTCCTTGATAGCTGAAAAAAAAAACATCAACTTCATTTTTAAAAACTGAAACAAAACATTTTTCTAGACTAGATGAAACAGCCATTGAAATGTTTCAAAATAAAATAAAAGTAAGAATAAAAGAAATGCTACTTTTTTTAACTGTAAATATTTACTTACTGTCTGCATTGCAGTCTGCACAGTTGTGGTTACTCAAGTTCTCATAGACTTTGTTCAGCACCGTGTCATCAGCCAAGCCTTCGGCAATAGCATCTTCCATGGCCATCCTCCATTGCTGCATCTCCTGCTCGCTTTCAAATGTCAAGCTAAAATGTAAAATATTTGTTATCAGAGATCTTAATATCATATAATCATTGTTTCTATTGTTTATATATTAACAGAGCTCAGGACCACAGTGAACTCACATTAAGTTTTCTTCATCTTCTTCACAATCACTCGCTGTAAACTCTGGTGAAAAATTCTGGTCGTTCATCCACTTTTGCATTTTGATCTTGTCCATAAACTTGAGCTTTGCGTGCACATCCATTTGAACAGGTTTAGCTTATTTTTATGCAAACCGTTGGCTCCTAACCTCTCAGTGCAGATGCACTCCCACTTCAAAGGAAATACCATAATAGTGGCCCTGTACAACATGCTGGTAGGGGACAATGAGTCTATTCTCTGTCTACCAAAAATGGGAACTGGGAACTCACGGAGGGGTTTAAGTCTTCTTATCTCTTGCTATCTGCCCCATTGTCTGCCTGATATAATTTATCTCCATCTCCAATTCTCTACTTTAAGTGCACTTAGCCCTCCCTCTTATTTTTTGCTTTGTGGGTTCCATTGAAAGTAAATTTTAATAATATTATAAATAGTCATTACCAACTAGTATCCTGCTCAGTACACACAAACAGGAAGGTCTGGTCGGTTTACTCTTTTAGTCATGGCAAGTTATTTGCTTGTGGCTACTGTCATCCATTGCATTTTCTCCCATGTGTGAGCTGAAAGTATATAGTTTTGTCACCCAGCTATGCAGAAGAGCTTACAGAAAGGGGCTGTGAGCAGCAGATGATATTTGGAACGTTTTTTTTCTAACTGTGCCCAATCTGCTTTATGCTGTCAACTGCAGATTCAGAAGAAAATGGTGAGTAGGTCTGTTGCAAGTGGTTATGCATTATGCAATTAATTGCATGTGCAACTATAAATTTGTTTGACTGCAGCTTAAACTGACAATAAACTACATTTCCACTATAGGACCAGTTGTGTTGGCACTTCTGATGGTTGTCTTACGTATGTATTGTGTGTGTATGCTATTGGTTTTGCCGAGACTACAATCTGCGTCAAAGTTTTCACAAGGAATGGGCATTCTGTGTGGTTTTCGATGACACAGGAACAGAGCAACCATAGGGTGACCCGTTTGGTATGAGGTTGAATCTGCGATTACTTGATTACCCAATCCTGTTCAGCATTTTCTCTTAAATCAGTATACTGACCCATACATGACCACAATAAAAGAAAAAAAGAAAAATAGCTTACTCAAACTGGCCATAATGAATCCACAGCTGCAATTTCCTGTGATCTTTGACCTTGACGGAGCAGAGCTTCATGTCGATTTCATGAGTTGGAGATCCCAGCTGATAATCCTGTAGAGATGTATAGAAACGAATAAACAAACACCGATACATGAGGTCAACAGGAACACGAAAGTGGGCCAGAGAAACCATGCTAGTTAGTTAGTTAGTTAGTTGTGTTATCATCATTGCACTCCTGACATGTCCATAGGGGCTCAGATTTTCCCCTCAGTATAAACCCCAACATCCGATAGCTACTAGTACCAGTTCTATGTTGATTAACAAGTCTCTTGGTGTGTCTGGTGTGCGTCTCATTTTTTTTTGCTATGCCGAACATAATTCCCAAGTCTGCCATTCTAGCAAGTGATGTGGATTCACTGCCATCACCCTCTATCCTTCCCATTTCTCTGAGGGCATTAATAATATCAGCATGATCCATAGGCTGACTGTCAGCAGTGATAGCGGATCCAGCCAACCTATCAGCTCTTTTATTTCCATGTACCATGTACCAGCAGTCAATGTTAAAGCATAAATTTGTCAGGAGTTTGCAAACCAAACCAGACATTTATTCGCTGTTGGCTAATTTCCTAGGAAATTTTACCTCCAGTAGCCTACCATTTTAATATCTAGGCTCTATAATAAACAACAATGGAGACTGTTTGACAGAAATTAAAAGGAGAATGGCCATAGCAATGCAAAGATTGAACAGCCTTAAAAGTCTAAGGTTAAGCACCAGCATGGAGATCAAAATTAGAATTTTGAGAGCATGCATCTTCCCTGTGGCTACATTCGGATGTGAGTCGTGGACTATTTCTCAGTCCTTGAGAAAGAGAATAGTAGCTTTTGAGCTGAAATGTTATAGAAAGATTCTCAGAATATCTTGGACAAAGAAGATGAGAAATATTGACATCTTAAAAGATCTGAACATCAAGAAAGATTGGCTAATAAACAGCATCCTTTCTCGAAAGCTGAAATATTTTGGTCATATCAAGCGCCACACGGATTGGACAAAATTATAGCAGAAGGCATGTACCAGGAAGGAGGGGCAGGGGGGGGGGGGGGGGAGGGGTGACAAGAAGATGGGCACAGGATATAGGTGGCTCCTTGAATGTAAAAGTGCATAAGGTGGGAGAACTGGCGAGAGACCGAGTTTCTTTCAGGCAGACTGTGATGAGAGCGACATTTTGTAAAGGACCTGCTACATGAACGAACGAACAAACTTTATTTTCAAAGGGTCACATGATCATGATGAGCCTACCATTGCTTCCTGAATCAATATGACGCTCATCTTCTTCTTTACTTTCTCTTCGGATCCTGCTTCTTGCTTTTCTGGCTGCCTCGACCATAAACAGACACATTGTGCTGTTTAAGAGTATTTCTCTGATGTTTTCTTTTAAGCTTGTTCGTGGTCTACCTCGTGCTCTACGTCCTTCTCCTCTATTATATGGCAACACAAGGCATTCTCTTTTATATCTTCTGGTCACTCTTGCAGCCATTCTCAAACATCTCATTTGCATGGTTACTAATTTTCTTTTCTGATATGTTGTGAGTGACCACGTCTGGCACAGGTAACACAGGGTGGGAAAAAATATGCTTTGTATGAGATGTTTTGTGCTGTTTAGATTTTCTTGTGCTGTAAGTAGGGAATAAATGTCCCAATACTTGGTTTGCTTTACTGCATTGAATGTTACATTTAATTTACCATCTTCAGTGAATGTTGCTCCCAGGTATTTTAATTTAGATGCTTGTTGACTGCCTTTGCACTTGACTGTTATATTTAGGTAAAACTTCTGTCTTTTCAATGTTGATTCTCCTTTTAACATGACGCTCATAGCACTGTCAAAATCCTTGCTCACATTTCACTGAAAGATCGTCTTCATCGCACATGACCGTAAGTGCTCCGATCTCCTCCAGAGTATGTCTTTAAGTGTCAAAATCAATGCAAAATGAATGTTCAGAGAATACTGACAGAGAGAAAAATCCCAAATCAATGCAGGAAAGGAATAACCTTTAACATTGAAAAGAAATGTTATCTTCCGGGCTGTAACACTGGAGAGACATTACCCTGTTATTGGTAATGTCCAAGAACTTTTTGTAAATTAATTCTCAATAGATTTTTGTAGTGGTCAACCCCTGCCTTTCCTTCGATGAACCATACTTTCTATTACTATGAAATAAATTCACTAAACATAAATATTGATATATTTAAAAAAAAAAATTTAAAATTGATTCACAATAAATTAATTCTCAATAGATGGCAGATATTCGAGGCTCAGAGGAAAGACAAGATGGGCTTTAATCAGAGTGCCACTGGTACCATTAGTATCGGAACTCTTCACTAGCTGCTGTGGATGGGGACAGAGCGCTTATGGGAATGTCGGTTCTTAAATCAACTCAACGCAACTCAATAGATTTAAAGGGGAGTGGACAAACATCATGAGAAAGGAACAAGTTATTTTAAAGAAATTTGTAGAAGAAGAAAAAAAAAAACAACCCCTTATCTTGAATTTCATTTTGTATATGAGGTTCCATCAATCAAGTGCCATCTCCATAATGAAGGCTGGCCTTTGATGAGGATGCAGGTATTCGATGTCTTTGGGCAGTGGTCAATATGCCTACATAACAGCTTTGGTACTGGCTACAAGTGCATGGTCAGTAGACATGGTTGGCACACACACATTTTTTTGGTTGGTTCCATGATAAATACCGTAAATCTGGGAGAAATGTGGCTTTTCTGCCTAATCCCGGGAGTGAATCAGGACCACAAGAAGTTCATCACCCGGTCACCGTGCAATCCGGTTTAGCCAACTACGCTAGAGAGCCAGGGTGATTTCATAATAAATATATGATGATGTTACTCTTTGGCTAAAAAATTATGTTTTCTTGGTCGAAGGGAAAGAAAGCAGTTATTTCTATGCTCCAATTGAATTTAGTTATTACTTCCCTTCATATAAATAAAAAAAAATTACTTTTTGGCAACATAACATTGTAAACATGAAAAATCCATCTGTTTAGTGACTTGGGGGCCAAAATGATGCAATAATTGGCATGCCTGACTGTCCGCTTGGTGGTCATAAGTTTCCATCAAGTGGATTTTAATAGCAATGACCAAAACTTCAAATTTCTTCTACTTCTTCGTCTCTTCCTCTGGTTCCTTAGTTTATTTCAGATATTATTATAAATGTGCATTTCTTTTTTAACTCTTTGAGTCCCAGAGGGTTTAGCATCACAGGCCCAGGGGGTAGTAAAGAAAGTAATACAATCAGTGCATCATGCGTTCATTGGGCTTCTAGGTAGGAACCTATGAACGTATGATGGGTTCCTTGGGACTCAAAGAGTTAATAAAATTTTGAATAAGAAAAAAAGGCAGTGTTTTAAAATTTTTATGGGGATAAAAAGTTTATAAGCATGTCGTAATAGTAACTAATTAAGGTTCGATGAAATTAGATGTGTTGAGTTGAAAGTTGGTAAATATCACAGCTTAACTGTAAACCACAACATAATGTGCCAACATCCCTTTTAAAGGGTGAATTCAGAAAAAGTAGAGGCTCCCGTTATGGACCCTAGGAATATGTGTGTGATTATAAGATTGCGATAAGAATGATGTGGATTCGAACTTACCTCAAAGGACTGGTAGTAGCAGAGAGTTTTGCCAGTGATTGTCACATAGTACTTCTTCAAATTGCCAAACTTGATAAAACCCTGCAGATACAATGACAAGTCTTCCTGAAAGATGTGCAAATCTGCATAAAAAGTACAAATATAAATGAAAAGCACAAACTCTAAAAGTGTAAAAACTACTCATGAATCATTATCAACCAACAGAGAATGTCACTCTGGTCAAAGCAAACATAATTTCCAATTCTCCAGTTCTAAGTGTTTTCACAGCTAATGCATCTTCAATGTCTTGTATCCAAATTCGCAAGAGGTCCACCTCTGCCTCATTTTCTGGAAACAGTACACTCCATCACCGTTCTCTCCAGGCCACCCTGACGTTAAACATGGTTTGAATACCTCACTTTTGGGACAGGATGCTGCCTTTTCTCTGACAACTTATGAATCAATCAATCATCAATTCACTTTATGCCTAGTGTCACACGAGGCTTCAGAGAGGACTTTCCATGCTTTCCTGTCCTGTGCAATCTAGAGTGCAGTTTTCCATGTCAGAGATGCCGCATTCAGGTCATTCTCCCTCATTCGTCTCCATGTTGTTTTTGGCCGCCCCTTTTTTCTCTTTCCCTCTGATATCCATGTGAAAGCTGTTTTGGCAGGTATATCAGGATTCATTCTCATAACGTGGCCAAGCCATTTCCATCTTCTCTTGGTTATCATACTGTCTAGATTTTCTTGGTTTGTGACTTGAAGTAGTTTGGTGTTTCAGATTGTATCTGGCCAGACAATTTTGATAATTCTACGTAGACATGTATGCTGGAAGGTGGATAGCTTGTGTGCATCCTTTTTGGTCATTCTCCAGCATTCTGCTCCATAAAGAACTGGTAAAATAATGCTCTTGTAGAGTCGAAGTTTCGTTCCTCTGCAGTAACTGATTTCCAGATTTTCCTCATCCTTTGCAACCCATGAATAGCTAATTATAATTGAAAGATTAAAAAAACAATGCACAAAAACAAGCAGAAAACATAGAAATCTGATAAACATTCTGAACATCAAATCCTAGATGCACTAATGGTGGGAAAAAGGTCATTTACTTCCCTATGATAGACATATACACGAATGTAGCAGCCGCTACATAGTCAGTTTAAAAAAAAAAACCTCTCTTTCATGCTAGTGGTGTATTCTTCATAAAATAGTAGATTCAGATTTACGTTGATCAATGATCAATCAGCACCCAATGAGTGAACTGTTCATTATGCCAGTTGCCTTGACTTCTTAGGAATTAAACCTGTGCCCATTTTAGACTGGGTCGACTTGGGAGCCAAGGTCATGTTAAAAAAAAAACATGAATCAATGCCGATTTGAACCAAAGACTTCCGGGGTGTTTAGTCACTGTGCCACCACTGCTAACTGCTACAGAATTAATATCTGGAAATCGTCCTAGGTAGATCTTTGGGACGGGACTGAAACAAATATAGAGATATCTCTGTGCAATGACAGAGGTATTTTGTATTTATCGCTTTTTAGGGCAGTGTAGACCTAGGGGTCGTGAGTTGAGGATTTAGGGCAGTGTAGACCTAGGGGTCATGAGTTGAGGATTTAGGGCAGTGTAGATCTAGGGGTCATGAGTTGAGGATTTAGGGCAGTGTAGATCTAGGGGTCTTGAGTTGAGGATTTAGGGCAGTGTAGATCTAGGGGTCTTGAGTGAGAGGATTTCTAGGGGTCATGTGTTGAGGATTTAGGGCAGTGTTAGACTAGGGGTCATGAGTTGAGGATTTAGGGCAGTGTAGACCTAGGGGTCATGAGTTGAGGATTTAGGGCAGTGTAGACCTAGGGGTTGTGAGTTGAGGATTTAGGGCAGTTGATGGGCAATGTAGACCTAGGGGTTGTGAGTTGAGGATTTAGGGCAGTGTAGACCTAGGGGTCATGAGTTGGGGAGGCATTTAGGGCATGAGTTGAGGATTTAGGGCAGTGTAGACCTAGGGGTTTAGGGCCAGTGAGTTGAGTTGGAGGATTTAGGGCATGGTCGACCTAGGGTTGTGAGTTGAGGATTTAGGGCAGTGTAGACCTAGGGGGTTGTGGGGTATCAGTTGAGGATTTAGGGCAGTGTAGACCTAGGGGTCATGAGTTGAGGATTTAGGGCAGTGTAGACCTAGGGGTCGAGTTGAGGATTTAGGGCAGTCAGTGTAGACCTAGGGGGTCATGAGTTGAGGATTTAGGGCAGTGTAGACCTGAGGGGTTTAGGGCAGTGTGAGAGGGTCATGAGGAGGATTAGGGCAGTGTAGACCTAGGGGTCATGAGTTGAGGATTTAGGGCAGTGTCGACCTAGGGGTCATGAGTTGAGGATTTAGGGCAGTGTAGATCTAGGGGTCATGAGTTGAGGATTTAGGGCAGTGTCGACCTAGGGGTCATGAGTTGAGGATTTAGGGCAGTGTAGACCTAGGGGTCATGAGTTGAGGATTTAGGGCAGTGTAGACCTAGGGGTCATGAGTTGAGGGATTTAGGGCAGTGTAGACCTAGGGGTCATGGTTGGGATTTAGGGCAGTGTCGACCTAGGGTCAGGAGTTGAGGATTTAGGGCAGTGTAGACCTAGGGGTTGTGAGTTGAGGATTTAGGGCCAGTGTCGACCTAGGGTTGAGGATTTAGGGCAGTGTAGACCTAGGGGTTGTGAGTTGATTTAGGGCAGTGTCGACCTAGGGGTCATGAGTTGAGGATTTAGGGCAGTGTAGACCTTGTGAGTTGAGGATTTAGGGCAGTGTCGACCTAGGGGTTTAGGGCAGTGTAGACCTAGGGGTCATGAGTTGAGGATTTAGGGCAGTGTAGACCTAGGGGTTGTGAGTTGAGGATTTAGGGCAGTGTAGACCTAGGGGTCATGAGTTGAGGATTTAGGGCAGTGTAGACCTAGGGGTTGTGAGTTGAGGATTTAGGGCAGTGTAGACCTAGGGGTCGTGAGTTGAGGATTTAGGGCAGTGTAGACCTAGGGGTTGTGAGTTGAGGATTTAGGGCAGTGTAGACCTAGGGGTTGTGAGTTGAGGATTTAGGGCAGTGTAGACCTAGGGGTTGTGAGTTGAGGATTTAGGGCAGTGTAGACCTAGGGGTCATGAGTTTAGGGCAGGGTAGGATTTAGGAGCAGTGTAGATCTAGGGGTCATGAGTTGAGGATTTAGGGCAGTGTAGACCTAGGGGTCATGAGTTGAGGATTTAGGGCAGTGTAGACCTAGGGGTCATGAGTTGAGGATTTAGGGCAGTGTAGACCTAGGGGTCATGAGTTGAGGATTTAGGGCAGTGTCGACCTAGGGGTCATGAGTTGAGGATTTAGGGCAGTGTCGACCTAGGGGTTGTGAGTTGAGGATTTAGGGCAGTGTAGACCTAGGGGTTGTGAGTTGAGGATTTAGGGCAGTGTAGACCTAGGGGTTGTGAGTTGAGGATTTAGGGCAGTGTAGACCTAGGGGTCATGAGTTGAGGATTTAGGGCAGTGTCGACCTAGGGGTTGTGAGTTGAGGATTTAGGGCAGTGTAGACCTAGGGGTTGTGAGTTGAGGATTTAGGGCAGTGTAGACCTAGGGGTCATGAGTTGAGGATTTAGGGCAGTGTCGACCTAGGGGTTGTGAGTTGAGGATTTAGGGCAGTGTCGACCTAGGGGTCATGAGTTGAGGATTTAGGGCAGTGTCGACCTAGGGGTTGTGAGTTGAGGATTTAGGGCAGTGTCGACCTAGGGGTCATGAGTTGAGGATTTAGGGCAGTGTAGACCTAGGGGTCATGAGTTGAGGATTTAGGGCAGTGTAGACCTAGTTGAGGATTTAGGGCAGTGTAGACCTGGGGGAGTTCATGAGTTGAGGATTTAGGGCAGTGTCGACCTAGGGGTCATGAGTTGAGGATTTAGGGCAGTGTCGACCTAGGGGTTGTGAGTTGAGGATTTAGGGCAGTGTAGACCTAGGGGTCATGAGTTGAGGATTTAGGGCAGTGTAGATCTAGGGGTCATGAGTTGAGGATTTAGGGCAGTGTAGACCTAGGGGTCATGAGTTGAGGATTTAGGGCAGTGTAGATCTAGGGGTCATGAGTTGAGGATTTAGGGCAGTGTAGACCTGGGGGTCATGAGTTGAGGATTTAGGGCAGTGTCGACCTAGGGGTTGTGAGTTGAGGATTTAGGGCAGTGTAGACCTAGGGGTCGTGAGTTGGGGATTTAGGGCCGCACAGCTGGTGCTGTCGACAAGAACTGTGAAGGTTAGATGTTTATTTGTGCCCCTGACACAACAACCTCTATCACCTTAACGGGGGTCAAACTCAGGTCTCCCGCATGAAAGCTGGACATTATAAGCACTCGGCTAGCCAGTCAAAACACACAAAACATACAAACAGATATAAAACACTAAACAAAAACAAACAAATCCTCCTGATATGAATATAACATCGCAGTGAATGTTATAATGCTGATAAATCTCAAGTTTAACAACAGCAAAATGGCTCACCTCCTTATCTGGCTTATCTGGAGGTAGTTCTTCACCATTACCTAACGATTTCTGAATAAAAAGTAAATTAACTTAAATGACAGCAGTCTAGCAGAAGGGACTGAAGAGTCAGAAATACTTCTTAATGTTTTATGAATTACACACATTTTTTCTATCGTAAACCATGAATTTGTTTTGGACAATTTCATTATATTGGACCATTTCACTAGATTGGCCCATTTCACTATTTTGGATCCTTTCTTCTTCTTCTTCTTAAAGTCCAAGCCATGCGGCATCGGTAGTCATGACTATCCAAAAACTTCTGTCTCGTGTACTTTCAATAAACTCTGACACAGATGATCTTCCCTGCCATGAGGTCAAACTGTCCAGCATCTGTTTTCTCAGTCTCCCTCTGCCTCTCATCCGTTCCAACTTTCCAACTGTCACGATTTACTCAAGATTTCTCCCTCTCATTATATGACCAAAGAATATAGATTATCTCTTTCTGGTGGGGGCAATCAGTTCTCTTCGTGAGTCAGTTTCTTCCAAGACATCCTCATTATTCTTTTTTATCATTTCACTATCAACAAAAAAAAAGAATATGAGCTTCTTGAACTTAAATCTTACAGAAAATTGTTGGGGGATATCAATGACCTTTAGAAAGAAAAATAATGACAATCTACAAGATTTGTACACTGATAAATAAAAACTAGCTCATAAACCATATCATGTCTTGAAAATTAAAAACCTTCAAGCATATCAGTTACTGTACTGATTTATCTAGAACAGTTATAGAAATACTGAAAACAAGGGTGTCTGAAGTTGACCTGACCTGATACCAACAAATGAAGTCTTTAAGTGACTCACATGTCCGGGTATGGTTTACGATTCTCTTCTTGATTTACTTGTTGACAAACACTTTGTTGAAAATGCTTGGCTCTATCTGTGCACATTTGTTGTTCTTTCTTCTTCTTTAAATTCAACCGCTGTAAATTCAGATGGAAAGTTTTGGTTGTTCATCCAAATCGTGACTTTAGTTTTGTTCCAGAACTTGAGTGTTGCATAAAAATTTGTTTAACAGATTTGAGTTGTGTGTAAGCAGACTGTAGGTTCCTCGTTTCTCAGGCAGATGCACTTTGACTTCGAAAGAAGCCCCCAGTTAGTGGACTCTTAGGACATGCTTTTTGTGGAGGTTGTGGGTCTGTTCTAGTTTTACCCACAAAATTGTTCAGGGATCCAAAATGTTTTCTCCACCGTCAACTGCTAGAACTATTTGACACATAGTGTCAAAGGATGACGATGATGATGATGATGACCCTTCTTGTCATCTACACATCATGTCCTTTTCGTGTCCTTGCTGAAACATAAGACATTCACAAGTGATCGCTACTGCTGCCGGTCTGCAGCTTTTCCACCCACGGTATCTCAGTTCAGTTTGCACTCCTTCATTTCCCTTTCCCCTGCTCTTCTCCAGGTTTCCCTAGGTTCTCCATGTCTCTATTTTTACATCTCATCAACAAGTGCCTTGCCAGCTGGCGTAGATGTTCAGCATCGCCACAGATCTTGTTCTTTGGTGTTCTGGATCAATTCTACTGATGATATTCCTCCATGCCACTGTTTTAAGCCATCCACCATCTTTTCTCTTGGTCTGCCTCTGCCTCTTCTACCAGTGATCTTTCCAGTCGTCACGATATTTTCCAGTGTTCATTTTCTCATCACATGACCAAAGAACTTTGTCTCCGTCTCACTGTTGTATATAATGTTCTACCTTCATTAGTCATTTCCAGGCATTCAATGTTAGTTTTTACATATACGGTCCTTAAAAGAGCTGTCTATGCTAAAGTTTTTTTTTCAAATCAATATTTGTGATTAGTGAATTTATTTAATAGTAATAGCAAGTATGGTTCATCGAAGGAAAGACAGGGGTTGACCACTACAAAGGTGGACACATGATATGAGATACATACAGCACATGAAAATATAGGGAAGTGCTAGCGAAAGACTGGGAGACTTTCTGAGATGTCTGTAACATTCTGCAAAGAACCCACTAGATGATAATGATGGTGAATTACATGCAACAAGTACTTAATCCCATCTCTTCATTAGACGCAATGTTTTATTATTGAAAGCTCCACTCTGGCTGTCGTCGGGGGCCCTAATATAACCAACAGTTGAAGGGGGTTTCTCATTCAAATGGTGTCACTTTGTGTCACTGGATTAGTCGTTTGTTGTGCTGTCCTGGTGGAGTTGAATGCCACTCATGCAACTATTCTTTCCTACACTATGACTGAAACCAAACACTTTTCTTTACACATTCTTCAGTGTATCATGAATATATCTATTTCCAGGTGCAATTTTGTCTGCAATTTTTAAAATATAACCTTTTTTTTTTAAATATGAATTTCTGGAACTATTTTTTTTTTAAATAGTAAAGTAAATTTTCTGGAATGGCACTTACTTTGTATTCAGTTATTGCAGCCATTAGAACACTCGCCCATTTTATGCAGTCATCTATAAGAAAGTAAAAAGAATATATCAATCATTACCCAAGACTAGGAAAATAGTGACACAATCCTAGAAAAAACATAAGAAATCCTTAAATATATTTTATAACTTAAAAAAAAAAAAAATATATATATATATAAGATGATGAAATAAAGATAACCAGACAGAGAAGAAAGAGGATCAGGAAAAAGAAATGGAGGAGGAGGGGAAGAGAAGAAGAAGAAAGAAGAAGAGAATGAGCAGCAGCAACAACAACTACAACAACAAATAAGAAGAAAGCTGATATCAGTGGATACCATGTTAACAGCTACCAACTAACATTCCTCACCTCCTAGATCACAGCTCTAAAACAACCCCCCCCCCCCCCCCCTTTCAAGAAGATGAGGAAGAAGCAGAAGAAGGGACACAAATGAAGCAGAAGAAGGGATAAAAATGAGGAGGAAGAAGAACAACAACAAGAACATGAAGCAGAAGAAGGGACAAAAATGAGGAAGAAGAACAACAACAAGAACATGAAGCAGAAGAAGGGACAAAAATGAGGGAGAAGAAGAAAAATGAAGAAGAAGCAGCAGAAGAAGGGATAAAAATGAGGAAGAAGAAGATGAAGCAGAAGAAGACAATGAAAAATCACTACAACCAGTGTTTACCAAACTATCTGAAATGACCACCCCTTATCTCCTAGGTTATTTACCTCTATAACCCCAAAACAAATCTACACAAACACTGCAACAACAAAAAACATAATTAAACATATCTCCTTCTTGGTTATTCGACATAAAACAAAGACATAAATACCAATGCATCAAATAATTTACCTAAAGTCTCTGATGAAAATATAAAGACTCTATCCTTCAAGGTGGTGATGACCTTGAACTTGAAGCTATTTTTATCAGAATCCTGTAGATAAATCGAACACATACATTTAAAAAAAAATTATTTATCTCATTTAACAACAAAGGGGTAAAGGTAACCCAACAGGAAGGGTCACTTCTTCTCCTTGTGTCTCATTCCAAGCCCCTGAGGTTCACTGCTGCAGATATCAACCGCCTCCATTCATCTCGGTGACTGATCTCTATCCAGTTGGTGACTCCAACCGTCTGTAGGTCTGCCTGGTTATTATCTGTCCACTGTCTTCTTGCTCTGCCTCATGGTCTACTTCCATTCATCTGATTTGATTTGATTCAAGAACCGACATCACAACACTTGGGGCATTCCCATAAGTGCTCCGTCCCCATCTTCAGCAGCCAGCAAAGAGTTCCGATACTAATGGTGACAGTAGCCTTTTCTCTGAGCCTCGAGCAGCTGCCAGAACCCCTCGCCACTCCCCGCTGCATCAATCTCACCAGACTGTGGTGATCCATCTGCTCCTCCAAACTGTACACGCTCTCCCACAAGGCACTAACCATGTCTGCCTTATCATGTAGCAGTATTCCACCAAGTTGTGCAGAGCCAGCCAGTCTGTTTGCCTGGTCATTTCCCAACACACCGGCGTGTCCCAGTGAAAAAATCCAGACAATACCCCTCACCCGTGTCTTCCGTAGCGAAGCATGCCACTCTGCACGAAGCATACCTGTTCTGATCTTCCTCAGCATGCTTTCTGAATCAGTTACAATCACGCTGTGTGTGTGTGTCGTGTTCTCTAGCCAGCGGAAAGCTGCAGTGACCACCTCCACCTCCATTCTTAAACTAGATGTTGTGGTATCATATGCTAAGCTCTCCTGCACCAAACGTCGACCATTACCTTTTGCTAAGAAACCCCAAACACTTCTTTTGCCTCTTGACACTGAACCATCTGTGTAAATGATCAAATCCTCTGAGAGAGCATTATCATGAATTAATTGCTGAATTTCCACCTCTGTGGCACCTGCTGGCCAGTCTCTCCATTCCCGGCTCAGCGTTCCATTCATCTATTAGGAGCAGGCCGTTTTTGTCTCTCTGTTATCAACCACTCTCTGTATGCTAATTCAGTCTATTAGCCCTCATGACGCCAGTAATTAGTAGCGGGAGAGTCACTTATTCTTCTGCCTTCTATTCCCCCAATGGAGCATAGGCCCTCGACCAACTCAAATCAAGTCATTCAGTCCAACACTATTGCATGCAGCTCATTGCATGTCCTCCATATCTTTTTCTAACTTTACGCTCTAGCTCCCTTCTCTATGTGATTTTTGGTCTACTTTTATTTCTACAGCCCTGTAGGTTCCAGTGCAAAGACATTCTAGTTATACTTTTCAGGTTTTCTCAACGTGTGTCCTATCCAATGCCAGCATCTTTTCTTCACCTCTTGGTCCACTAGAACTTGTTTAGTTCTCTCCCAAAGCTCTACATTAGTGATTCTATCATACCGTTCAACTCCCTCTATTCCGTGCAGGCACCAGTTAGTGAATGTTTGTAGTTTATGAATGAGTCACCATGTCAGCAGAATGTTAAGGATTTTATGGTGGGATTACACAATGCTCACAACTGTTTTTTTTCCCTTACCCCTTTCTCTGGGTAGTCCCAAACCCAGGTCAAGATATGAACAGATTTACAATTTACAAAAAAAAAATAGCATTGGTGGTGTTGGTGGTGAGGGGGGGGGGGGGGGGGTATGTGTGAGCTAAATGATTTTGTTTAAGCCATGCTGATATCAAACTTCCTTGCTGACATCATATTTCCCTTGCTGACATCAAATTTCCCTTGCTGACATCAAATTTCCCTTGCTGACATCAAATTTCCCATGCTGACATCAAATTTCCCTTGCTGACATCACATTTCCTGGCAGCCTCAGTGATAGAGGTCACGGGGTCATGGCAGGAGTCACCTTTGTCTATTTTTAGGCCCTTGGGGAATGTATTCCATTAAATGCTTCACTCCATTCACAAAGGGGTTATGCTGCTTGGCTTATGCTCTGAAGATTACTGTTTTGGTTGTAGACTCGATAATAAATTTGCTATTGCAGGTGTTTTGTGGATTCCTAGAGACTGACATTGGAGCTACTATACTATACTATATTATACTATACTATATTATACTATACTATACTATATTATACTATACTATACTATATTATACTATTTTATACTATACTATACTATACTATACTACACTAGCAGCTAGATGCACGCATGTGGATCAGACGGTCGTGGCTTGGGGTCTTGATGGATAGCGGGATCCTTTTTTTTAAATGACCCCGGTCCCAGGTCGACCCAGCCTGGCTGGATACAAGGTACAGTCCTGGAAAGTCAAGGCGGCTGGCGTGATGATTACCACATTTTATATTCCATTATATCACATCATATTACAACATTACAACCATTGCTCCCAACTGTCTTAGGGATAACCTGCCAACAGTCAGAAGAACCCTTGAACAGGGATCTCCTCCAAACCATCTATGAGCAGCACAGGAGAGATCAACACACTTTATACACACCAGAGTAGGATTAGAGTTTATAGGGATGGTTCTAGCCAACAGGGCAATCAGAGACAAGAGCAGCAGAAATATACACTAAATACCCAAATGGTTAAAAAAAAAACAGGTTCACATTCTTCCAACTATAAAGCAGATGTACTTCTGGTGGCATAATCTTACCTGAATAAACAACAGTGCAGCAAATATAGCAGAGTAGTCTTTCTGACTGATTCTAAGTTGTTAACCAAAAAGACACACAGTTTGTGGACCTGGCGCAACAACTGATTCAATAAGGCTCTTCAGTAGGTCAATCTTTCCCGCAGTGGATTCCAGGTCATTGTGGCTTGGAAGGCAATGAAAGTAGCAGACTGATTCAATCAGGCTCTTCAGTAGGTCAATCTTTCCCGCAGTGGATTCCAGGTCAATGTGGCTTGGAAGGCAATGAAAGGAGCAGACAGACTGGCTAGAAGTGGCAGGACACAATGAAATCAAACTGTGATTTAACCCACCAAGAGACTAAGACATTAATAAAAACTAGTATCCAAGAAATATGGCTAAATACCCATACTAAATATTCTCTCTAAGACTCGCTTCATCGCCTCTCTAGAGAGGGAGAATGTGTCATATTCAGACTAAGGACAAGGCATAAAAGTCTTTGCCAACATATGCTCAAGTTTTTTGATGCAGGAAACAGGGAGATGTCCCTGCATATTGGCACCAGAAAAGGTTGAGCCATCAATGTCAACTGTATGCCACTAATAGAGAAGCAATCTGGCCTATTCAAACCTCAATGAAGACAAAGCTGTTTGGTACACGGGGAGATAGGGATTGCATGATACTTTTCCTCAAGTCTCCGGTCTTCTGGTATAAATTTTCTGACAGAAGGATCGAAAAAAAAAAAAAAAAGGAAGAAGAAGACATATTATAAAACACAGGTACTGAACTAGACAAACAAGGATAAGAAAGCAACTTCTCACCTTGATATCTGTCTCAGTTCTGATCATACATCTTACAGGTATAATGCGCTTAGACACCTGCGACTGTGGGTAAATGAAACACATATTTTACTTCCTTCATAAAGTTCTAACATTACATGCAATAAGTTCTGTAAAATGAAATTACTTTCATAGTTGCGTTAGTGTAAGTTTGATTTTTGTATGCTGGTGAAAATTTCATACAGTAACATTAACTGTGTACAGGGTGATTGAAAAATGATCCTTATTTTAAAATACTTATAAATTATTTATTTATGGTAATTTTTGTCTCAGTTGCTGTGTTTGATCTTTAGTGTATGAGAATGTAGTCTGTAAATTTACTCTCTTTGTACCTATGTTCAAACTGATCCACAAAAAACTAATTGCCATCATCAGAAAGAGTCATCTTATGACAAGGAGATAACTAGAGTACATTGTGATGGGGGGAAATTAGAAAGGGGAAAAGAGGCAGGGGGAGACTCAGAGAGAAGACTCTTGACAGTCTGACATCATGGCATTGAAGATTGTCTGCAATAGATCTGACTGAAAGTACATGAGACAGAAGGTTGTGTATCTTCATGACTACCAATACCACGAGGCACAGACTATAAGAAGAAGCACAATGACCTTTCTTTTTAAATCTTGCTGGCAAAACATAGCATATCATCTCCCTCTAACACCTTCAGACAGATAGTGAAACAAAGCAGCATATCATCTCCCTCTAACACCTTCAGACACATAGTGAAACAAAGCAGCATATGATCTCCCTCTAACACCTTCAGACACATAGTGAAACAAAGCAGCATATGATCTCCCTCTAACACCTTCAGACACATAGTGAAACAAAGCAGCTTATCATCTCCCTCTAACACCTTCAGACACATAGTGAAACAAAGCAGCATATCATCTCCCTTTAACACCTTCAGACACATAGTGAAACAAAGCAGCATATCATCTCCCTCTAACACCTTCAGACATAGTGAAACAAAGCAGCATATCATCTCCCTTTAACACCTTCAGACACATAGTGAAACAAAGCAGCAGTCCACATTGACTGAGGCTTCTTAAAATGACATACAGTTTGACCTCAAATAGAGTGAGTGCAGACTGAAATAATTTGCTACATTTTGGGTGTTTACAGTAAACGTTCAGCCACCATCTTACCAGCTCTACAGTGACTTAGTAAGAAGGGATGATTTTAACAGTTAAAATAATGTAAAATAAACAAAGGTCTAAAACAACTTACAGTGTTGCTGGTATAATAGCTCAAACTGGTGCCATTGAACACAACCCATCTCTTTTTCCAGCCTTTATTTGCTTTGTACCTAGGTGGGCAACAAAAAAATCACAATCAAAGCAATGTTTCCCTGTTGTAAATTTGAACAGAGAAGACATAAACAATAGATCGCACAATTTATTACCTGGCATATTTCGCTGTATCTCGTCAGGTGTATACTACAGTAACAATTACATAAATGAAGCAAATAAGTAAATCCCTTATAACTGAAGTACAAATTCACCAACAATCAAATGCAACTGCCTGTTTTACCAGTTCT